TTCTTAGAAATCGCCAAATGAATCTGAGATCGCATGAATCGGGAAATACATGATCAAGGAGTTCCCTAAGACAAAATGCTGTAGTGTAGCTTGATCAGTATTTGTACCTATGGTGTCGATAACAGACCTGACATTTCAAGGCTATAGTTTGAGTGTGTAAGCAAATACATGCATGACTCTGGCAAAGAGTCATCTGGCAAGAGCTGTGAAATGGCACTTCCTGCGTGTAAACTTCAGTAACACCGTGATGTTAAGGAGTTGATTTTGATGCAGTGTATATAGAAATATGTGGTCGATACGAGCCATATTCGTAAATTACGGAGTGATTCTGATTATTACTGCGTGAGTGAATTGATAAACGTCGATCACTACTGGTTTAGTGTGTTTTACTCACTTGAGTAAAAAGGCTACCAGTTAGGTTGGAGAGTGGACAAGCAAATCTACCAAAATTGGAATTTCAACCTTTAAACAAGATTTCGTTCCGTGATAATACGATCTACTTTATAAGTCAACAAAATTAAAGACTAAGATCTCACCAATACTATGATGGCATTGAGTATCATTGGCACTTACAGATGGCTGTTTAAAGGAGGCAATTTGGTCTTCAAAGGATTGCTTGATGACATTGGAACTAGAGCAAAATAACATGTGTCTTACAATTGCTCACCACGCCAATGAAGTGCTATTTCACTTTGCAAAGACCCCATCTTAAAGTGCCAAAGTCTATTCAGATGGCACACGAGACAAGCATAAATCGACGATTCGGAGCTACAGGCAAAGTAGAAAATCTTCATTTTGTCAAGCACGAAATATATGCGCGAGAAAGACAGTTCAAACACACCAGAAGATGCAGGACTGACTAGTAAATCTGAATTAGAATATGTTTAGTGTACAAAAAAGATGTGACTCGACTTAGCTGTCTATTGAGTCCTTACAATATCAAAAAACTATCAGTGTGTATTGCGCAGTGACTATATGAATTCAAAATACTGATTAAAAATTGAAGCTTGGCATATGCCCAAAGTCACATTTGAGAGAAGATCAATTACAACTGAAGGAACATATGTGGAGAGAAAGAGCCCAGAAGCTTGCATTTTGATGTGGATTTATCCTGCTCCAGGCTAGAAGATGCATTCATGTGGTAAGTGGAATTTGCAATCCCACAATCGAAAGAAAGGGAACGGGAATTATGTGGAGTTGTTTTGCCCCTATAATAAAGGAGCCTTAGCTTCTTAAGTTTTTATTCATTTCCAAAAACTTTGTCTACTTGTCCTTCAATTCTTAAGTGAGTTTAGACAATGTTTTCTCGTCTCTCTCAATTTGTATATTTTCTTTAGTGAAATATAAATTTGGTAGTGTCCGAGGACTTAAGGCAAAATGGGCGAAACCTCGTAAATTTTTTGGTGTTCTCTTTTAATTTATGCTTTTGTCTTTTATTTATTTAATAGCTTATTGTTGGTTTTCAATGAAATATTTTTGGTGGTATTGTCTAATTAATTACCTTCTAGGTAAATCTGTCTAGGCAAGTGAATTTTAAAGTGATGACCCAGACCATTTGTGACTGCCTCCACTACACTGGGAATTTCTAATTGAGTTAGTTAAGTATCAGTAATGTCGAGCGAAATTGCTATTGTGGTGGAAAAAACACCAATTTCCCCAACACAACTCTTATTTCCCCTGCCTACAGGGAGGGATACTAAATTTTGGGGGGCCTCTGACATCCAGGAGGTCAGATGGTGGCTCCATCAGAAACTTCTCTGGACTAGGAGGTTTTTCTTATTCGAATCCCATTCATTCATCTGATGAATAAGGAGGGGCTACGAGATTCCCAAGGCTCACGAAATCATTCCAAAGAGGCATGCTCGTACGTTACATAGAAGGAGAATGATATCCATACTCGTTGGTTGTTTGGGTAACTTTCACTCTCTCTAATATTTCGAAATATTGCCTTTAAAGAGTCATTTTTTTTTATATTAGATTTCAAATTATACGTTCGTATAGCCGAGAGCAGCATGGTTTTTCGATTCTAATTATAAAATAGAATATTTACCTGCTTATCAACTAGATAACAATATTACTAATAGATATTTTACATAATATATGTGCATAGTATTCTAATTATTTTTTTTATTTTTTTTATTCACCTTTTATGAGTGAAATAAATATTTTCAAATATCCTCTACTCTTTATAAGAACACCGAACTAAAAAATTATTTTAATGGTATTTTTTCTTATTTCATGCAGTTTTGTTAAAAAAAATTATTTATTTAAAAATTACAGACCTCTAAATTTGTCTCTCTAATCTAATCGAGAAAGTAAATATAATTTTTTAACATTTATAAATTACAATTTACAAATTTCTCATAAATATTTACTTATTTATATTAACCATAAAATAAAAAGATACTTTAATATATTTAAACATAATGATTTAAGATTTCTAAAATTATTTCTTTTTTCTATTATAAGGATTACCTGCTGTATAGTTTGCTAATATAAAAAAGGAAAAAGTTAACTAAGTTTATATTTATAGAAAAATAATAATGAAGAGCAAATTGGTTATAATTTAATAAAATTTATTATGTAAGAAAATTATAATTACACCCACAAAGTTAAATAATATAAATTTAATATTCGGCTCCACTTAATATCAATTAAAAATCATTCATAAATTTAAGGTTGATAAATTTAGAAAATTAGGAAAAACATGATTGATTTATTAAAAATTGTATGAAAAAAAGAGTACTCACAGTGAATGTTGGATCACAAAAGATGATTTATTGAATTGATATTTTTTTTTTATTTGAAATCAAGAGCGGCACAATTTGATTCATGGATAGAGTTAGTGTGTTAGCATTAATTGAAACATATTGAAAATGAGATAATTAAAGAGAAAAAATAAATAATATATGTATAACCTCAAACACTAGCCTAACTTTAAAAATTTAGCCGAATTCAATCCCATATAAAAATCCAAACACATATTCAAAATAGAGAAGTGGTTGTAATGAATATTGGAATCAGGTTTAAATTTCCTAACCTTGTGATATAAAAAGGGTTTGATTTGTGTGATAGCAATCTAGTTTTCATATAGACAAATATGAAAAGTTTGGATATTTTATAGATTATGTTTTATTTTTAATGATACAAGAAGTTGGAGGTTTAAATTTGTAAAAGATTCAATCCAGGTTTGAAATTAATGAATTCCTAAAAAGTGAAAAAAAAGGTTTAAGTATGTATAAATTTTTTTACCATGTAACAGAAATTTGTGATAAGTCTTAATAAATTGATCTTAGAAAATAAAACCAATTCATGAAATATTATTGAGAGAAACTAAATGGATAAGTTTCCCCCCCAATTCCCCCCCCCCCCAAAAAAATTTTTTAATTTCCCCCAAAACGGTTTTTTTTTTAAAAAAAAAAGTTTAGATTGATTAACTAAAGCAGTCCTGTTTATAGAATCTTTTAATATCAACTGTAATGTAAATTAGTTTAAATTTTCTATATATATCTATTATCTTATTATATATATAATAATTATAATTATTTAGAATTTTTAAAAAATATATAAATAAATTATTTACAAAAAGAGTATATATCGATAATTTTATTTACAAAAATTTAAATTTACTCAACTAATAAAATAAAAATATTGTATAATTATTCACTCAAAGATTTTATTGATTCTTGAACTTTTATTACATACCATGACTCCATATAATTTAAACATTACATTTTTTTATTATTCAAAATATTTATGAAAATATTGCTATAGAAGAGTAAGTTTTTAGGCTGTTGTCTAACAATTTATTTTTTGAGATGGTGGCTACATGCTCGATCGTGACAAATACAAAGTATTTTTAATTAATTTAATTTAAATGCTAAAATTTATATTTAAAAAAAAAGAGAAACCAATTATGTTATGACTAACACCAACACCGCCGGTAAACCGACAATCCGACCCAAACGGACCTTTTTCTCCTTCAACACTTGCCGCTTGGCCCGCTTCCACCGAAAAACCTCAACCTTAAACCCTCGCTTGTCTCCTGCTAAACACGCAAGCCTCCATTTTCTCATTTCGACAAATAACCCGTTCTGACATAAGACTTAAAACTCATAATTAGAGTTGTCTTTGCTTCTTTTTTTTTTTTTTTTTTCTCTTTCTTTCCTAACTGAGATTTACCATGAAGAAGCAAAATCCAAAGAAGAGAGGCTCAGGTCCTAAGGAAGCAAGAAGGGCAACCAAATCAATGAAGGAAATCCTTTCTTCAGCAAAAGAATCGAAGAAAACGCTGAAAGATGGATTACCAACGACGATTACATCGAGTCCTGCGAGTTCAGAGGAGGAGAATGGATTTTTAAGGCGCGGAAGAAAGAGGGAGGAGGATCGGAAGAGAGATGGGATCAATTGCGGCGAGACGGCAGATGAGAAGAGGCAGCGCGTGGCTAAAGCTTATGTAGATAAGACCTTAGGGAGCATTGAGAGAAGAGAAGATGAGGAAGAGGAAAGAAGAGGAGGAAGAGAAAGAAGTTTGAGAAGGACGGGGAGAGAGATTCTCGTGTGCTTAAGAAGTTGATGCAGGCCCAGCTCGAGGAGAGTGGCGATTGAGAAGAGCTATTGCTTCTAGGTAAGCAAAAAAAAAAAAAAAAAAAAAGTAAAACAAAACGAAATTCGTTGTTTTTCCATAAAAAAAAAAAAAAAAAAAAAGTAAAAAAACGAAATTCGTTTGTTTTTTCCATGTTAAGCTTTACATGTTTATGCTTCGTTTAGGTATTAAATGGGTTGATAAAGTTCACATCTTTTGGTGGGTTTTGATGTTATTGATGAACCTACAATTTTGTGATGAAATAGGTTCTATTATCTTTTAATTGATCTTTTATACATATCAGTTCCAAATTTGTTTTATTTACGTATGGACTGAGTGGTGATTTCAGATAGAAAATTGTGAAATTATACATGGCTGCCATTGCTAAGTTATGCTCTCGGGTTGACTGTTAGAGAATCTAGAGGGCTAATGAAATATCATGATTTTGGAGTTTGAGAACTTTCCCGCGTTGGTTTTATTTCTTTAAACCATTGTTAATTGCTTTACAATGAATAATTTGTTCATACTGACACTGTTTTAAAGGACAAGGATCTTCTTTTACATTTATGCATAACTTTGTTAATGGATGCATTACCTTTCGTTTAAGAATTGTCTTATTCATTAAATGCCTCAGGGTTGAAAAGCCAGAAACTGTTGGTGGATTCGAGGTCCTAGTGAAACATCGGCATTCTGTTACTGCTGTATGTCTAGCTGAAGATGACTTGAAGGGATTTTCTTCTTCCAAAGATGGCACAATTTTGCAGTGGGATGTAGACACTGCGAAAAGTGAAAAGTACAGATGGCCTAATGAAGAAACATTGAGGCTTCATGGGGCAAAGAATCCAGAAGGTCAAGCTACAAAGCACAGTAAACAGGTTCTAGCATTGGCTGTTAGCTCTGATGGTCGGTATTTGGCAAGTGGAGGATTAGATCGGCATGTTCACATATGGGACACTCGGACAAGAGAACATATTCAGGTGAACTTGAAGAATATGCATTTGTTTTTCAACTTTTTGGTTTGGCAGTAAAACAACAGTTATATGGGCATGGTTGGAGGGACTCTGAGCTTCCTGTCTGGTCCTGAGAGAGAAAAACTGACAGATCCTGAATGGATCCACTCACATGCATTATTCAGATCATAAAATCTGGAAAAGTTCGTAGTATTCTGACCATATGGATCAGATCATAAAATCTGGAAAAGTTCGTAGTATTCTGACCATACGGATATACTCTCCTTCTGTGTGCCAAGATAACTTCTAAATGTTAATTATTACATATGATAGATAGATAGATAGATATAGGTATTATGCTGTCAATAACACATTTTTTTGAATGTTTGAAGTCAAGGTTTTTACTCGGTATACTCATTGATTGTTTACTTGTAGGCTTTTCCAGGTCATAGAGGGCCTGTGTCATGCCTAACTTTTAGGCAAGGCACTTCAGAACTTTTCTCTGGTTCCTTTGATCGATCAATTAAAGTATGGAATGTGGAAGACAGGGCTTATATAAACACGTTGTTTGGTCACCAAAGTGAAGTTTTGACTGTTGATTGCCTGCGGAAAGAACGGTTGTTGGCTACTGGACGTGATCGGACTATGCAGTTGTTTAAGGTACAGAAACTCTTCATTTTGGTGATTCACTTGGTCTTAACTATAAAAAAATGGGACTAAGGTGAAGCAATATTATCATTTGTGCAATTCTGACTGGATAAAGATAAATATGATACTATTTGGTATGCTTGCTAAATATGCATTTTTTTTTTAACAAACCTTTTACTATCCAAAAGAAAATTACAAAAATCAGTATTTGGATAAGTAATAAAAAGTTACTTTTTGAAACAGAAACAGAGGTTGTTTTTTATCAAGTGCAAAAACTAATTGTTTTTTAAGGTTTTCTCATGTAAATCATCATCATTACAACTACTGTCACTTCTTGCTTCCAATCAGAAAACAGAAGTAATATTTATTTAGAAGAAAAAACCATAGCTACAGGTTGTTAAAGTTAATTGAAAGGTGGCAGCAAAACAATCTATTCTTCCTTTTTTGGGCTATGGCATGCCAACTATCATGTTTCACAAGTTTTCAGTTTTTTTTTTGGGTCTCCATGTCTGGAAAAGAGCGAATACATTTTGTGACGTGTAGGCATTCTCAGTTGTTTCTAAATTTAATGAGAGAAAATACCTGCAGGAATCTATATATCCTTATATTCATGTCGTTATATGTCACTTGAAAGAAGGCTCAGGCTAGTATAGGTACCTACAGGAAGGATGGGGCCTTTTAATTATTATATATATATTTTTTTTACTCTAGAACAGAATACTTGCTGCAGACTGGCACCTATTGAATTGTGGGAAAAGAGATTGTTGTATCAAATGGAATGGCATTCATTACTTTGGATTGACTAAGTTTGATACCTAAATTTGCTGCCTTATCTGGTGCTCAAACAATGATGCATCAAGTCCAACTTGTAAATTTAATTTTATTCAAGTAATTTGTTAATGGAATTGGTAACTTCACCTACCAAAGAAAATCCTGGATTGGATCCCAAATTGACGGGTTGCTTGCGTGTCACCTTTACATAAATCATGGATCAAATAAGCCCTCTTGAGAATTGATCAAATTCTATCGAGTCTGACCAAGAAATTTTTCGATTTCTTCCAGAAGCAGATGAATAACTGCTATGTCAGTGCAATTAATGGCAATCACGACTCAAGAACTTCATAGTTTTAAATTTTTATTATGTATTTAGTTCTTATTCTTTTATGAAATGCAGCCCTTCTCTTATTCTGATTCTGATGATAGAGCTTTTTAATTGTACTTGTAATGACTATTTTCTATGTAAGTTGACAAAAATATCAAGGGAGAAACATAAATTGTGTGCTATTGGTGAAGATGGAACAATCTATGTGGTCATTAAAAGAGTCTCTGATGGTGGGCACAAAGCCCTAGTGCCAATGTGTGTTTAACCTCGTAACCTTCGATCTGAGACACATTAATCTAGGAGCAAAAGCCATGTGCCTGGTTTGGGGTTTCTTGCATCAAAACAATCTGCTACCATCTGACTCTAGATATTACGTGTACATATCTAAATTTTTATGTTTTGTTATATGGTTCACAACAGCATTGATTTGCTCAACGGTTTTGAATGTTCTGAAGGCACTAAAATTTTACTGGTGATGTACAAAATCAAAATCGTCTTTCTTTCAAATGCCATGGTTCTCTTTACTTAGGCATCAGGGGGAAAATATTCTGAAAATTGTTATTATAGTTAGAACTAAGTTTAATGAGATTAGTATTCTACGACTAGCAATTCATTTTTACCATATGTGTATTCATTGTATTTTGTCGTGATATTCTGGAGATCCTTATTACATGCAGCCTCCACAGATTTTCTGCTTAGTGACGTGCTAAACTTTTGAGGCATTTTTTAAGCCTTGTTTTAGTATAATACCATCTTTTTGTTGTAACCTTAATATCTCATTTTACATTCTGCAAATAGGTCCCTGAGGAGTCGAGGTTGATATTTCGTGCTTCAGCATCGTCTCTGGAATGTTGTTGTTTTATTGATAATGATGAATTTTTATCTGGTTCGGATGATGGAAATATTGAGGTCTGGGGCATGCAAAAAAAGAAGCCCGTGTACATTGTGAGGAATGCTCATGCTCTCTTTACTGACAACACAAATTTGGAGCAAAAAGAAAATGGAAGCATCTTTAATGGTGATAAAGGTAAATGTTTCCATTTTTTTTTTTCTTATATTATCACACTCCTATATTTTTTTTTTCGATGGCAGAAAAGGAGAATGACTTTTTATATTGTGAAGTTTGATTGCTGGTTTGAAATTATTTTTTGGTGTCAATTGTTCACTTTCTTGCTCTTTGCCTTCTTTACGTTATAGCCTGTCAGAAATGAGGGGGAGAGTTGGTCTGTGAGAGGTTATTAATAGATAGGATCCTAATTTATTTTTCTGCCCTTCTTAAAAGTTCTGATTGATCTATCATCTGATTGCCTGGATGCTATTGTTTTTCTATCAGCATGTTCCTGGGTAAGTTCAGTCACTGTATGTAGAGGCAGTGATCTTGCTGCGTCAGGGGCTGGTAATGGTTCTGTTCACTTATGGGCTATTGAAAGTGCTCCGGCTTGCATTCGACCTCTGTATGATGTTCCATTGGTGAGTGAAAATTATTCTATCTAATTCAGTTAATCTTTGATTTTGCTGTATAATGTGTCTACAGTGATTTTAATTGATATATTGCTTTTCGAACAAAAGCTGCTCCTGCTCTAGTTGTTATTACACAATTGTTTCAGTTTAGCTTAATGTCGCGAAAAATTTCTTGACCACAAGTAACTTTGCCAATGAATATTTCATATCCCATCTTCGATTGCAGCATTCTGAATCACGAGGTATCATGGAGATTATTCTTGCTAATAAAATCATACAATCTAGTTAACTCTACTCAACTTAGACTTAATCCAAATAAGAAACAGGTCACAAGCTTCCAATTATGGTAAAAATGCTCTCTTTTTTTAAAATCAATTTCCCTCATCTGAACACTTTATATGGATTATGCTTCCATTCAATGTGTCGTACATTTTTACCTCAGGAATAAATGTTAATGTAGGACTTGTATTACTGGTTTTTCTGAAATTTCCTAAGCCATTAGAACCAGTATTTTTAGAATTGCAAAACATTGTGACAAGACTCTTTAAATCTGCCATTTTGCTTATTTAAATGCCTGAATTCTTCTGAAAGTTCAAATGCCAAACTGAAGCTCCAAAGCAAGTCCAGGGAAAGTAAGCTACATAACTTAAAACATGTTCATATTTTTATTTGGAGTACGAGAACACGAACCAGCTTTAGCTATTTCTGAAATGACTTAGCTGTATATGTGACTGGCATTTAGCTTTGCTACAAAGTAGAAGTGGTTGTATGATGCAATTATTCTTTAGCTGTTATCTGGGAAACATGTCTTCTCCTTGTGCACATCCAAGCGAGTGGAAGGTTTGCTTGATTGGGCTTGGGTGACAATGGACTAGTTTTCTAATTGCCACCCTGGCTCCATCGGGCTAAAGTTTCTAGAGCTTTGACGTTATTAGTCTATCTTGCAGTATCAGTGTTAATCGTTAAATAGAGTAATAGTATGTTGTACGTGTTAACAGTTCAAAACCTTGCTAGGCTCAAAGCTGATATGGAAGCTGGCCTGGCCTAATATTGTCACATTTTTTTGATTTTCTGGTATTCATGTTGTGGCAGAATGTTTATAACTTGACATTTTCTTGTGGGCTCCTCTTTGTGCTACCTGAATAACTATATGTGTGATTATATAACTGAGCAGTTTTCATGTTGGAAGCTATTTGACCTTTTTCACTTTCATAATCCCATGGAAATAAGTATGAAATTCCATTGAAATATGTTCTTATTTTAATCACTTAATACTCAGTTGCGCATCTGAATTAATCAAGCAATGTTTGCTTGTCTATAAGCCACTAGCATCTTTTACATTGTGCATAGTCATTAGTGAGGCGCCTATCTCCATTATAGAGCCCTTTTTTTTCCCCAATTCTAGGATATTATTAATTAGAATCGCGTTGAAGTGATTCATCTTACTTCCATTTCATCTAGTTGCTTGTCTCGGATTTCTCTTTTGATTCTCTCATTTTTGTTTTTCTTTTTTGGCTGCAAATGTTACTTTTATGTAGGTTTCAGCCATGCAATTTCTATTATGTTTAATTTAACTTAAGTCCATTAAAGATTGATCTTGTGGTGCTTACCATTTATGTAATGCAGGTTGGATTTGTCAATTCACTAGCTTTTTCCAAATCTGGAGAGTTCCTTGTTGCTGGAGTTGGTCAGGTGAAGTATTATTCTGTTATTGTGATTCTTATGATATTCTCTGCCTTTTTGTCTCCCATTTATTTGTTTCCTTGAATCTGGGATGAGGAGCATGAATCCTTGATTGAATGAGGGCTTCTTTATGAGAGAAAGGGTTACGTAGTTGAATCAGATACTTGAGTCAAAACTGTCTAAACCCAACACTTAATTAAGGCCCAACTGGCTTCTAAAGTTAAGCAGCAAAGTATATTTATTGTTTCGAAATATTAACAGTCTTTCTTGATACTCTTAGGACCAACTATCCTATATTTGAACTGGTCGCATATACCTGATTAATTAAATTAAACAAGATTTGAAGAATTTATCAGTGCATCCAATGTTATGGAAATGGATTAGCTTGAGACATACAATATGCTCCTAGATTTATTTCTTTATTATTGTATTGTTCTTGTGGTTACTTCAAAGATCGCTTAATTCAGGGCCAGTCTCAGATGTATTTTCTTCTAACCATTTTTAGGTGCAGATGAACTTTATCTGTTTTCATACACTAATTGTAGAAACCATACTGAGAAATGCTCATTTTGAAGAGCATGCGTATATGCCTTATTTTCTGTAATTGTAATTTTTAAGCCCTCAGACCCTGTTGAGATTTTTACTATTCCTGCTCATTATTGGACAACGGTTTACATTTATGCTAATCGCTTGTCTTTGTTTTCACTTTTTTTTCTCCGATCATATCTCATATATGATATTTTGATTAGTCGTTTTCTGATATGTCTAATTACTTATGCAACAGGAGCCTCGCCTAGGAAGGTGGGGGCAAATTTCAGCTGCTCGAAATGGAGTAGCGATTCATCGGTTGAAACATTCATAGTATGTAGAAAATTTTTTGACCTTCCCAGTTTTGATCACTTAGAAGAAAGAAATTAAATGAGAGAGTCTGTACCTTTGTGATTTGGTGTTGTCCAAATTGTATATTTAATGCCGGCAGCGGATTTTGCAATCTTGTGCGTACCATAGAGTTGTTTTCTTGGATTTTCTAATCTTCAAAGGGAATGGGATAAATATGTTAATTCATGTGGAGAATTTTCATCTTTGGTGCGTACCAAGAATCATTGACTGCAGTTTAATCATTCTTGTTCTATTGATTTGATTTGAATTCAATTCCAATTTAAAAGCAAGTGTGGCCATGCTTGGATATTATGTACATAAAATTGTGAACGTAGTTATTTGAAGAAGGAAGCAATGTCTGGCAATTTTCATACTTCAGGGGTCGCGCATTGAATTCTTTCTTTTTAAAGAAAAGGCGTGTTATTTTTTAAAATAATTAGACAATTGATGCTTAAATTTAACAATTTTATTATTTTGTATTCAAAATTTCAACTTTTTATTGATTAAAATATTTAAAACGACATCTTTGTCAATCAAAATAAAAAATGATTGTACGTGAAAAAGATTCGTTTCGTTAAATCTCTCTCTTGCTAAAAAAAAAAAACATCTAAAATCTGAAAGTCACAAAGCAAAGGATAAAATCACTAGATTCGCGATCATGCTCGACTCTCCACTTCTCTTTTATTGACATTACGATATTACTTTTTTAAGAAACTTGTTTTGAAATATTGATGTTTAATTATATAAAGTAGTTTACAAAATTCTATTGTATAATTATATTATTATTTTTATCATTTATCGTTTATAACCCGTAAATTGCTAACGTTGGACCTATAAAATAATAATAATAATAATTGGCTCAAAATGTTAGATCCTTTAAATCAATAAACCTGATTCGACCAACCCAACGTACAGCCCTAAGCCCACCTTTTTTCCTTTACCTCCATTTACATATTCACATCTTACATTTTATGTATATAATCGAAAGGGTTATCATATCATATAATTGAACTTTAGCCCTCAAAATGGTAAATTTCACAAACAAATTTTATGGAAGCCTTTTTTCTTTTCTTTCTTTTTTTTTTTTTTATAAAAAAGAACAAGAAAAAGTGCACTAGTTTTCAAAAATTTACAAGAATTTCACCTCATTTAAATTCATTTATGCAAATAAAACGGATTTGATATTTCATTTGTTTCCAAACATAAGTGCATATAACGGTAAACAAAGATGCTCAAGATTTTGTTGTCTAGCCTCCAAGGGAAAAGGAAAAAAAAAAAAAATAATAATTACAAGACGCATTGGGAATACAATACTTTCCTCTGCTATAAGGCGTTTATAGACGACGAACAAACTATTAGCACAGAACAATAGGGTTACTTGCCTGGTATAACTGTCACAATTATACAATCCTGTTCAAAGGAATTCTTTCACTTTGTCTTGCAACCCTTTCCACAGGCATAATTACTTGCGGCATTGTCATACCTACAGAGACTATGATCTCTGCAATATTAAATGCAAAAGCAACAAGTCAGTCTACAAGAAACACTTGTAAGAAGAAACTTAAAATCAACGGTTCCTATTGTCACATAAAACAGCTCCTGAAACGAGAGCTCATTGATGCTTATCAATGAAGTCAAATAAACGAGTTTGAAAGCAAACAAAATTGAGCTTATGTCTATCAATGGGCTTGTTTGTAGCTCACTATGTTCCTTTTGTTACTCGTTTAAAAGTGAACAGAAATAATATTCTTTTTGAACAATTAAAAGAAATTATTGTTGAACCAAAAACATAAATTGCTACACCTAAAATATTCACTACATTCTCAGCAAAGAATTCAAAGAATACAACAGAGTCCTCTCAGAGTTTTAACCTCATTTACTCCCTCACCATAACTTATTGGATTACATATCTAGTTCCACTTCCCAATCACGCGAACTTTTCTCCATTTTTGTTTCTATCTCTTCTTCTTCTCCTTCATCATTCCTAATACAACTTTGGCTGTTTATTGCCCTTCACTTGTCCAAAAGTATATGCAAATCAACTTGAAAACGTGAAAACAAAAAACGGGAACTTTGGTTTTGGAGGTCCAGATTGCGTACCCCCACAATCCAAAGCAAGTAAGCACCACAATTTGGGATGCACATCCAGGATCATGGTACCATTGCTTTTTTTGTTCTTTTTTTTTGGGGGGGGAGAGGAGAAAGGGGGGTGGGGGGTGTCTGTGCATTAGGCGACTATGAAAGAAATCATTTTTATGTATTCTTCAACATTTCTTGCAGGGTTTAGCTTCATTAAGATTAACTCCTATAGTTTTCAGGTTCTAAATGACCACTTAGTAAAAGGTCCTATATGAAGCAGCACTTCAGCCACTTGAATTTTCGATATTCCTTTTTATTGCTCACCAAACGGATGGCATCTTCTTCTGGCAATAACAGCTATACCATCTAACAAAATGACTAGATTTCTAATTCGCCATTAGGGTGATGGCAGATGCTTAAACACGATTCTGTTCCATAAAACTGGATCATTCAGATGATAAACCGGGATATATCCCACAAACATTTTTTCCCAAAAGCAACAGCAGGAAACAAAGATACACTGTTTTAAATGCAAGCTAATTAAGATTGACACACTATTTTATGCAATATAAGCAATGACAATTTCAGAAACAGAGACATACCTATGCCTTCTCGGATCGACAAATTGGGTCTTATAATGTCTTTAGAGTTCACAAGGAATATATCACCAATGTACAGATGGTTTGTTGGGACAAAAACACTGCATAATTCTTCATCTTCGTTATCTCTCTGCAGTTGATAACCAGGAAAATGAACCAGAAAATGAATAAAACATATAGAACTTAGAATGAAGGTGAACAAATATTAAAACAGTCTTTTATGTAATCCAGAAACCACCACCATCTGACTCAACAGAAGTAGTATGACAATCGACAAGGCAGACTCATCAATTATCATCTAACAAAGTGATGGAACTTGTCTTTCATCAAGCTATGTTATTTATTTATTTTTACATGCACAATTTTTACACTCTTAGTACAAAAGTAAGGTTGTTCCTCAGTGAATAGAAGTTCATGGTTCAAGTAGCGGAAATAACCCCTTTGCCAATAAATGCACGGGAAAAGTAAAATAGCCTAACACATTAGGGATCTCTTTTAATCCTAACACCTTGTAAATTGCAGTTAATAGGCCTTTTCGTAACTTCCGTTGCACATGATAATTAGTAATACTTGACATAGTTTTACAAAACTGTATTTCTTTTTTAAAAATTTTCCCACCATTCTATTTGAATCACAAATTTTCACATTTTCTCATATTGTTTCTAACAATACAAGTGTGTTGACATAGATATTCTTTTCAGAAAAATCTCAAAACTTTTTCAATATCACAGTTTGTATTCTTACGACCTAAAATTATACTATAAATAGTGATAACTACTTAAGAAATAAGTACAAAATTATATTGGTTTATTTAAAGCAACAGTTAATAAATATACAGAGGCACGCTGCAATATTCAAACATGCACTATAACATAAAAGTAAACCATATAAGATTTAAGAATCCTTATGACTAATAATAATTTTAGTCAAAAATTGTTGGTCCACATTCTAATATAGGGGACACAAAACACCAATAATAATGAAACCAATAACTCAAAATTTGTGATATTAAGTAGCCAATCAAAACTAAACAGATATGAAGGATACTATGACTTTTACTGTCTTCTTTTATCTGATCATAGTTTTACTATATCTTAATATACAATTTATAGATGAAAAGAAAGGTAGAGTGCTAGCCCCGAAGCATTGATAAGGTTGCTTTAGTCATGGGTTCAAGCTATAGAAACAGCATCTTATACAAAAAAAAATAATAATAATAATAATAATAAAAATAAATAGATAAATAAATAAATAAATAAAAGAAAAGCAAAAACTAGATATGATAAAAGCCCTTTCCCAATCCTTGTAACGCAAAGAGTCTCATGCATTGAGGATGCCCTTTTCTAGATAAAAAAGAAATATTGATCATAAATGTGGAAAAGAACAAGAAAAAATTATATGATTCTTTATATATTTTTAGGTTGATGATCTGAAAGCCAAAGGCAATAATATCCAACGCATGATTAATCATCAAATGTATAAATCAAATGCTCATGGATATAATCCTCAAACTCCAAGATCGCGAAGGCAATTCACCCATAAACATCAATGAAGCAATTCAAATTAATTTACCAAAACATGGCGTACAAAGTCAGAAAGAAAATCAGTTCTAATAACAAAATATATTCTGCAAGAACATTATATTAACTATGGTGCTATCAAGCTCAAGGATTAAATCGTGCAACATAGAGTGAGAATGAGAAAAACACTATTTTGTTTGCAAAAAATGTAGGAGAGGATGAAAGGATGAGACAGAAAGAGGACTGGTCAAAGTAATTTATCTAGCCTTTGATGTAGAAGTAGAACTCTAGGTTCTCAAACCCGAAATATATACTGCACCACTCTTGTTTGGATGAGAACAGAGAAATACGAGACGAATGATTAAGAAAATGATTATGTTCTACTAGTGACAAATTAAAGTACAGCGCTTTTACTTATCCAAATAGAAAAGGACTAATTAGTAAATTTATCCCCCTTTTACCATAATTGGCTGAAAATGCTTAGGGTAGCCCAAAAGTATCCCAACCGCCCCTCTACAAATCCATCCCCCTCATTCCTCATTTTGGCGTCCTCTCCATTTTCATGCCTCTCGGTGTGATTTAACTTGCAAGGGAACGTGGGAGGACTCTCCCATTTTCCCCACCCCTCTTTCCCTCTCTCCCCAAAATTCCACCAAGGACAAGGCAAGAAGGCAAGCAAACATTTTTAGAAACAGAACCTTTATTGGTCTAGTACATAAAGCAAAAATAGATGATAAGTAAAAAGGGGTACAAATAGATAAGTTGGTGTCAGTAATAACAAATAAAGCGGCAAGCAAACAGAAACATCCATAAAGGGAGATGTTTTTAGATCACAAAATGCTTACAAGCACCTTTTTGACCTTGGACAAGCGACTCAATGAGAAATAGCAAGCTGAAATTGGCAAGAGAATTTTCTTTTTGCATCAAATCAAATTGGAACAAGTGATTACATTTGGGTAAAGATCATCAATTACTTAATGCCAAGGAACATTCATCCTGAGATCATATTGGGAAATTCAAAAGAAGGAAAATTTTGAAAAGTTATTCAAACTGAAATGAAATCTAAGACAGTTCCTTCAGACTAGAGACATATCATTAGAAAATCTAAGAGTTCATTTGACTCACAGAATTGGAATTGAGTTGAGCTGAAATTACAATTATGATTGGACAAGACTTCAGAACTGAAACTAAAAATTTGAGTAATCATCCCAATTGCCAATTTTTTTTTTTTTTTTGTCTGTGTGCTGTGTGCATAATACATCCTTTGATTTAAAAAAAAAAAAAATTAAATATTTCAATAATGTTCTTTAATATTTTAATTAATGTATTAATAATATTAAATATAAATTTAACTAAAATAACCACATACGTATCACACCTAAGCTGTTTTCAACTCCATGGAAACGAAGGTTAGTTTTTAATTCCAATTCAATTCTGTACTTCAGGCTGCAAAATCGGAATACCGCAAAACTGGAATTGATAAGCCTCATTCCAACTCCAGCAGTGCCAAAGGTAACCAAAGGAAATGGCTTAACAAGAAACAGCAGATAGGCAGAAAGTAGGACATTTCTTTATTTCAAAAAATGTTGGCTGGTAAGGTTCATTATTAGAGAGATCCCTACAACTACAAGTCACATGGAACAAAAGATATAAGACATGGGATGCATAATTCTATAAAAAGTTTCTTTGACACATGATAATGATCCTTGATATCTAAAGGTCTTTTAAGTTTGATCCTTAAGAGACAAAAAATAAATAAAAACCTATTCAGAAAGCATGGTGTTTATGTAACAGTAACAAAATAGGCATGTAACATCATACTCACAATAAATGGGTTAAATAAACAGGAAAGTATTCTTAAAGTGACTCATACAGAAAGGTGAAACTGATTCCTTTGCAAGGGAAAAGGCATCATAAAACCAGAAGTACCTGAAGGATGACAGTTGATGTGATGAAACCAAATGCATATTCACCAATACGAGGATGACGGATAATTGCAACCTCTTTGAATGCTGTAGTGTTCTGAGCTGTGGAAATAGAGATATCAATATCAGCATGTAGGTAAATGCTCCACAATACTGAAATTCATCTTAAATACATGATATTTACAATGTTTTCAGATGGACTTCAATGATGATGAAAAAGCTCATCAACTGAAAGGGAAAAAAATAAAAGAGATTCTGGGTTTGTGGAAAACAACAATTTGCATGCTAAAGTAGTCCACCATGTCATCATCATAATCCAAAGAAATGAGTACATTTAAGGTCTACACCACCTCAGAATTCATTTTCAGTATGTCAAAGACTTTCACATGGCAATTAGAAATCAAAAGTTGATCCAATTAAGCCATCGTTCACAAGAATCAGCAGTTGTTGATGTCTTCACTATTTGGCAGGAAATTTCATAATTACATAAAAAAATTGCTAGCACAGATATAGCATAAAATCTGAGCACCGTGAATAGAAATAGAAAAAGTAAAGCCAGAAGTATGAATATGTTCTTAAGCTCACATTAAAAACATTAATTAACTCTTAAAATCACTGGAAAAGTGTAATACCCATGGAAAAAAAAATATATTACTACTGCATATAAAGTAACTTCAATATCCTGTGTTGAAACACTTTTCCATTTCCAGATCCTGTTATGAAATTAATAAAGGAAGGTCTAATTTAACCTGGAGAAATAGCAGCACTAATTTGCTTGGATGCCGAATATAAGTGCCTAACAAAGGGCATTCGCTTGATGAACCATTCGCCAAGCCAGAAAACATTGGACCCTATCCATGACGAAACAAATACACCGACAAAGAATACAAACACCAGAGATGTGACAAATCCAAGTCCTGCATGGTTGACCAAATGTTTTTAAAGGCCATATTACAAATATTAAATATAAAACAAGATTAAAAATAATAATCTAGAATCTAAATATTTCCAAATAAGAACATGAGAAGCAGAAAGGCTTTATGATGTATCAATCTCACAAAACCACTGAATTATATCACTAGAAAATAATTTTATCTTCATAATTTAATATCATGGCACATGGAAAATTAAAATACCAGGTTGACCATATAATAGACTCGGTATTCCTCTTTGATTTAGCAATGCTGGAATGCACATGGATGGGGACCGCATAATTCTACATAATTTTTCAAGAATATTGTTGTATCTTGATGGAAAATAGAAAAAAGTGGCAAGAAAATTCATGACTTCTAGCCATTTATCAAAGAGAAAAGAAAAGATAACTAATTCTAAGTTCAAGCCAAGCACTCTTGTAACACTTAGGGATGAAGAGGATATTGGTTCTGGGGAGGAAACACATGAAGACGAAAGAATAGAAGATCAGAATAAATAAATAAGTACACACTCCTAGTCGTTTATCAAAGAATAAATATATACACACTCGTATGGAAGTCTTCACTTTTCAGAATTTTTTTTTAAAAAGAAACAACATGGGACACCAACCAAAGAAATGACGTTTCATAGCTCATGTTCTTCAGGTTTCTGACCACATAAATGCAACATCTATTCTCCATTATGCACTATACTATATATGAGCAATTTCCATCTCTGTTTACAAATTTTCATTGCCAAACCTTGTATAGTCAAGTCTCTGTTCTTAAAAGAGCTGAAGAAATCATTGAGAATACCACGCATTAGCATTGAAGTAAAGAATGAGCATTTTAAACTGCAATAAAAGATTTAGGCCTTCTGCAAGAAACAAATCAACTCCTACAATCCATTTTCTTCTTGAACATTTTTGTGCAGTTTCTATGATGCTCTTTTCCTTCTTTAAAGGCATTAAGGTATATGGATTACATATACAAATTGCTAGAGTTAAATTGAAGCTAACTAGTAGAGCTTTCAGTATGATTTGACATTAGCTCATTTGTAAAAAAATATAACTTACCAAATATGTCAATGCCAAGCCGTTCATAAATTGGACTGAAGAAACCATCAACAAACTGAATAAGCCACCATGTAATAAAGAATGTCACAGCTATGGGGAAAAGAACGACACTGCAATTTCACCATTGAACAAAATATTAGGCTTGAAAGGTCAAAAGTTGCTTGGAACATTTATAGTAATAGTTACACTTCTTACCATCCAGTCATGAACTTCTTTGAGACCCAACTTTGGAGAACAAAACAGCAAGCCTGAATAAATGAACAGAACAGGTATATATTCACGAAAACTTGCTACAATAGTTTTCCACATAAACCTCAGTAAATATGCATATAAAGGAAAACAAGCTTTAATATTTGAATGCGCAAGAAAAGCAAAGAAAAAAGGAGAAAGCTTAGGCTGAGCATGGTTAGGAAAAACCTGAATCCCGAACCAAGCCAGTTAGGTTTGATCTTTGACAGAATCAGTTTTATTTCAGTTCTATTAGAATCAAACCAAAATATTTTTCAGATCAGTTTTTTTATCAAACCAAAATATAAGCCCAAATCTGCATAAGAACAGTTCAAACCAAACCGATTCAGTTTGGTTCGGTTCAATTCATATGCTTTCGGTTTTATCTTTAAAAAATTCAGTCCATTCGATCAGTGGTGGTTTTGGCTATTGACTAAATGCTCACTCCAAGTGAAAGCTAATCTCACTTCAATATGTGTGTAAGTATTGAGGAACTAACTTATTCTTTTTTGAAGAACGGAATCTAACTTAATTTCCATATTAATGTGAGAGAATCTTGATTAGAAACCCTATCACCATAACGTTATGTAGTTGCTTCAACAGAACTTGAGGTGAACATATTTAGATTTGATCGGCATGTGTTTAAACTTTAAACTAATTTGTGAAAAGAGCATCTTCTCAGATGCTTTTACAAAATGCCAACAGAAATTGCTTGTGGAATTGGAAATTTTATGACCCAACATCCAAATGAACCTTAAAAGTGATTCTTAGTGGCATTTAGTCACCAAGAGGCTGTTTGGGAAGGGTAGAAAAGGAGATGAGGAGATGAAAGAAAAAAGTGGGGAAAGGAATGGAAGAATATTTTTCTTTTCTTTGTTTGGAAGAGAAAGGAAATGATAGGGAAAGAAAGAAAATGGTGGAAAAAGATTCTTGGGGCCCACAACAGTCTCTCCAAATTAAGAGGAAGAGAGGGGAAAAACTAATTAAATTACTTTTTAGCCCCATAACTATTTTTTAGGCATAAAAAGTAAAGTGCAATCGCGTAATTTTACTTCTTTGAAATTATACTCCATTTTCTTTCCCAAGCTTTCCAAACAACACTACTAGCGGCCTTCTTCTTGGTCCCATAATTATTTCCCCTTCTTGCCTTCCCCTTCTTTCCTTTCCCTGTCCATCTTTTTCCCAAACAAGTTATAACCCTTCCTCACCTACCCACATCCCATCCTAGGTCTTATCCCCTATCACCTTAAAATGTTCACCCCTTTGCACCAGTGAATTTGCTGGTTTATTATGACGTGTCCAACCCATCAAATTTCTTCTCTTCTCTTAACTTTCCTAGATTAGGTGCCACTTCCACCTTCTTATTAGTACATTCATAATTCATTCCTTATAAATTTCATAATTGTTTATCATTGTGTTTTCTAAACATCCATCTTAAACTCCTGACAACATTACTGTTCTATATTTCCATCAAGCATGTAAATGAAGAACAATTCTGTTTTGTGTGTTCTCTGTGAACATCATCCTTATCATATTTATTCTGCTGCACGAACATTCCCATATGGTAATACTTACATCAAACCTTGGAAATTTCAGATAAGTTACAATATCAACTTGTGCACATTTATGACAAAACATTTGAAATCAATATAACTTCCAGAGATAATGAATAATTATTTCATGCAAAGCGTGGAAATGTTCCAAACAGAAAAAATTCATGAAAACCAAATGTCCAATGGATACATCTATAGAAACTGTTTGATCACATAAGGGTAAGGAATTATTTTCCAACATTTGTAAGCAAAATTTGCAGTTCTTGGTATCTTCAAACAATTGTTTACTGATAATTTGCATAAGGGCATTGAGTTTTTTCTAAAATTTTGGTGAACTCTAATTAACATCAGTCAACAAAAGGTGCAAACATTTCTCCAATTACAAAATACCCCATATCTATAAGATCATTAATTTTTTAAAAAAAATTTTTTTGGAAGGTTGTATAAAGGTAAATGTAAACTAATCCATTGCCATTGTTAAATACTTGTGAATTTTGGTTTCACAGAACAAAGAGTATGAACTGGGTTGCCAGCTTTGACATCCAAGGTGCCAAGCTTCAAATAGTTCTATATATTCTTTTTTTTTTCCCTCGTACTCATGATTTTCCAGATCATTAGTTCTGCATTTCTATAACCAAAATCTTGTGCAAGACTGTAAGTAGGCAAAAGCTTTTAAAATCCATTTGCAGAGCATTTGCAACATGAAAACACAAAGATTTAATTGCTACTATCTCCACAGATCCTATAGTTCTGCATTACACAAAAACGCAAATATTTAATTATTACTATCTCCACACATCCTATGATTCTGCATTACGTTTCTGACAAAAATTAATCCATTCACAAATCATATTGCAGCAATAACAACATCAATAAGGCAATAGCTTTTTAAAATCCATTTGCCAAGTATTTTCAACACAAAAATGCAAAGATTTGATTACAACCATCTCCACACATCCTACAGTTCTGCATTATGTTTCTGACAACAATTAAGCCATCTTTCTATGACATTTTTACTGATGATAGTTCTAAGCTTTTAAAACTCTACATTCCTCAACGTCTAAATGGGAAAGTAAAATGCGATTGTATTGTATTGGCCGCTGAAATTCCTCTCCATTAAAGTTAAGCTCTCAGGAGTTCTTCCACTGTCTACTCCAACAATTACGAAAAAGATTTTCATAGTGAGCCCACTGTAGAATTTCATAATTACTGTTCAGAAATTTTATTCTTGAACTCATTGTAAAGCATCACCAGTCTCTTTGGATTTAAATGTTCAAATATCAATCAAACCAAGGCAGAGCAATTCAAAAACCTTAATTTACGAGTAAATCACAGTAAATTTTCAATGATTTTTTGGAACAAAAACGAATTATCTGTAACCTTCACGCGATATATCGAGATCCAAGAATTACTAAATCTAACATACAATGGCAGTCAACGTAAACAAAAATATTTGATAAAAAAGGGTAATAGAAACAGAAGGTAGAGAAATGAAAGCGGGCAGACCTCGCGAGTGGAGGAATTGGAGGAGGAAGGAGGAGATTTGGCGGGATCCTCGGGTTCTTCGCCGCCATTTTCGGCGTGGCTGAGCGGAATAGACGTAGATTCTTCTTTTTCTTCGGGCATATCTGTAATCTATGGACTATGATGTATATAAGGGTGATTCAGTTAGAGAGGGATTTTGCAATTTGGTAGCTGTGTGTGGATGAGGAAATGAAGGCGAGTCAAGAGAGAAATAGATGAATAATGGACATGGTTGTAATGGTTATTATTATTAATTATTAATTATTAATAATTACTATACTATACAATAGAAACTTTATAAGCAAGGGAGAATGTAACTGAAAAATGCCAGAACAGAGATTTTTGCAGCACAAGCAATGGTTATTTATTTATTTTTAAGGACTAAGGAACGCTAATTTTCTTCTCCACAATCATAATTTGTTTTTAGTCTAAATGTCAACAAGCGGGTAGACAAATTGGTAGACTTTAAACGAATTAATTGATTAGAAAAGTTACTTAATACATTTATTTTTCAATTAAAATTAATTAATTAAGTGAAATTATTTAATAATTATAAATTATATTATGGAAAAGCGAATATGAAATGTAATCATTTGTAAATTGCTTTAGAATTGCATATCAAATCAATTCGAATTTTTTATTTTTTTTAATTTTTTCTAACTATCTCTAAATGACTTTATGAACATTCTTTATCAAAAAAGAAAAAAAATTAAACGTTTTATCTATAATATATCTATCTATATCTATATTTATAGTATATATAAAAAATACGAGGATTTCATAAAATACCCCTACAAATTTTTAAAAAAATAAAATTAAAAATAATTTAATCCTATTAATACTTAGGAAATTTTTTATTTTATTGGTCGATTAAAAATATTATTAGACGATTAATGGTAAAAAAAATTTAATCCTAGTCATTTTCTCCTATATAATTTAATCCTATTAATTGATTGCAAAAACATATAATATCTAGTCATTTTCAAATGAAAAAAAAATAAAAAATTAAATATCACATAAATTTCTCCTCTCTATTATGTTTTCAAATCAAGCTACTTTTCTTCTTAACAAAAGAAATTTTATCTCGTTTTTGTATGATAGATATGCCTAGAGAAGAATTTGTGTGTGTAGTCACAACTAAGAGAAGAATTAGCACATGGAGTTGGGATGGGGATGAAGATGGCGTTGTTGATGGTAAGGTACGTGAGATGGGTAGGTGAATGATGGAGATGAAATGGACGTTGGAGCTGAAATGGTAGTTAAGTGGTGGAGTTAAGATTGACGGTGAAGATGAAATGGGCAAGTAATGAGATGGATGATTTGATTACGCTATGGGGTATATTGAATTATGACTCTATTAGATTTAAAAATTTTAAACGTATTCAATTTAGATTTTTTAGAGTTTATTAAATTTTGTGATATTTTTTCTCAAAAAATTTTTTGTGATATTTAATTCAAATTTGTATAGCATCCATAAAATTTGATGGCATTCAATTATGAATTTTTAAGTTCGTACAAATTGGATGGTATTTAAAATATTATTGTTTTAGAAAAATTCTATAAAATTATTGATTTTACTGGATTTTAGAGTATTACGTATGAATAAAAGAGTAATTTACAAATACATTCTTTAACCCAATGATTTCAACTATCGTCCGATCGACTCTCATACTAAAAATTTTAAAGTCAAAACAAGTCACAACGATGTCTTTCAATCAAGCTTCAAAAAAAAAAAAAAAAAAAAAAAAAAGCTTCAAAAAAAAAAAAAAAAAAAAAAAAAAAGTTGTGTTTCAATCTCATCTATGTAACTAATATCTAAAGGGAAAATAATTATTTCGTCTCTGAAGTTTGCCATAATTATTTAAGTAGTCCTCGATATTTATACAAATATTTATAACGTTCTTGAGATTCACTTCCGTCTTGTTAATTGGTCCTTCCGTCCAAAAATTATACTTTTTCCGTTAATTTTGAGAGGAAAAGATGAAATTATCCTTTGGGAAAATAACTATCTCGTCCCTGAGTTTTGCCATAATTATTTAAGTAGTCCCCGACATTTATACAAATATTTATAACGTTCCTAAGGTTCACTTCCGTCATATTAATTAGTCCCTCCGTCCAAAAAATACACTTTTTTCGTTAATTTTAAGAGGAAAAGACGAAATTATTCTTTATAAGTTTTCGTTGACTTTATAAGTTTTCGTTGACATTATTGTCAATCTATTTCCTCTAAAATATCTAAAATTCAAAATTTCACCGTCTTTCTCAACTCAACACGATTTTCATTGCCACCACCGTGTCTCTGTCAACCATTATCTCAATAACCAGATCACCACCAAAAGTTAAGTTTTTAAATATCAAATTTTGGATTTTTAATTATAACCGATTGTGAATCTTCATTATAATGGAACCCTTTATGTATTTTGTTAATTTTAATATATAGTATACATATCTAAAGTTTCGGTACATAATATTTTTATCATTTTAATATATAGTTTATGTTCCATTAACTATATGATGATAACTATAGTACCTGCTTATATTTTTACCTAACCATATAAATTAATTACTTGTACTCTTATTGCTAAGATATAAATAAAAAGTTAATCTATTGTATAACTTTGGTGTTTTGATGTTTCCATTTTATCTAATCATGATTGTTTAATTATTTTTTGAATACCTATATTCAAATTGGTGCTTCTTTATTATGTTTTGATATACTTATGTCGACAACATTATTATTAAACATATTTACAATCAGAGATGCACAAGAAAAAAGTAAAAGTGCGTATAACGCATAGACTTCCTGAAAAAGTAAATTGTTTTTAAATTTAATGATTAATAGTGTTAATCGTGGATAGTGTGATAGTAACAGTGTGTTCAATAAATTAATTGTTACAGCTAAAATACTTTATAAGTTTCCAAATTGTTACTTGGCCAAGCAATAGAAATATTAATATGATAATATGCTAATCATAGTTCTAAGAGTAGCACCAGAATTTCAAAGGTTGTGAATTATGAATAGCAACATTTGGTTTTCAACATAAAATCCAACGACTTACAGCCATCAATTAGGCCTAAATCGAGCTGCCTTTGTATGTGTCTGCATATTAGAGCTTGTGAGAGAGAGGAGAGGATTGGAAACCAAATCCTATGAACCCACAAGGAAAGAGGAAAAATGGCAGAGGCTGACCGGCAAAAGAGAAGTAAGACTTCCAAAAATTAAGAGGAGATGCTACCGATGCAAGAAGTTATAGGCATGAAAAAAATGCATGTGTTGGCATAAAAGATTTTATATATGATGAGAATAATTGAAGCATATGTGCAAACTTAACGTGATCCATCGTATCAAGAACTTTTATCTGAACATCATGAATCACCAGTGTCAGAATCTGATTCCTATTTAAAAGTTCACACATAAAACATTGTTCAAAGAAAACGAACTACAATTACGGGTGAAGGGAGTATTTACTTGTATGCTTGTAACATTAATCGAGTTAATTTTTTAGAAAAACTTTTACAGGGTCTAGAATCAATTGGAAAAATTACTAATGAAATTTAAGGAATTCGTAGCCTAATGAAGAAAAGGGAATCGGAAAATAGTGAAACTGAGACTCGCGATTTGGATAATCCTGGGCACTAGAAAGCAATTGCAATGATTCAAAAATTGGAATAAAAGATGCCTTCTTGAAGATGTCTCCAAAAGAGCGTTTTGAATGGATATCTAATATCGAATCACTGTGAAAATAAACATGATTAACTATTTAATTATATTTAGTTAGTAGTTTCTTTAGACGTACTTTTTTTTTTTTCCTTTGCTTATGTTGACTTTCAAATTTTGCTTTTGGTTTAATTGTTCTTATGTACTGAGTTTTTTTAATTAAGTTAGATTTTTGTTTATTTTTGTTTTGGTTTACTTGTTCTTATGTATTGAATTTTATTTATTTTAGTTTAATTTTATTTTTTCATAGTTTAAAATATTATTTAAAATTTTCAACAATTTATTATTTAGTAATACATCTATTATATATATTATGAATCATATAACACAAAAAATGGAAGAAAAAGACACATAAGAAAATGAAGAGTTTTATGAACCATTAAATTAGTATTGCTTGGAATTCAAGTATTAATTGAAGTGTTGTATAGATCGATGATTAACATATGGAGTAGCTTTTGTTGTGAACATATTGAACATCCATTGGTTCAGTGATCAATTACGGCTAGAGGGTATAATTATATACATAAAGTATTAATTAAAGAATATTCTTAATATTTTTGACAACTGTATATGATGTATCCTAATATTTTTCTGAAGCTATTTAAGATTCTTAAAAAAAAAAAATACACATTTGCAGTAGACTTGATTATTTGCATTGAAGAAATGCTTGCAATATTTTTACTTATTATAGGTAAAAAATATGACTCGTGAGCTATTTAGTCGATCACATTTTACAGTAAGCAAAAATTGTAACAAAATTTTGAAGGCTTTAAATAAAACAACATCGGATATGATGATTAAATCAAAATCCAAAACTCTAAATAGAATACGAGAAAGTACAAGATTTTACCCTTATTTCAAGGTAAACATATTGTTTTTGTTATTACATATTAATTATAAATTATATTATTTATTATAGGATTGCATAGGTGTTAATGATAGCATACATATACCAATAATGAAGTAGTTATCGCAATTGTCATGGAATGATATCACAAAATATATTAGCAGCTTAATAACTTTTATTTGGAGTTCATATATGGATGGGAGGTTCAACTCATGATTCAAAATTACTACACGATAGTTTATCAATAAGGAGTGGACTTAAAATACCACAAGGAATATACATATATTATTATTTTCGATATGTATTCATTTTTCGGCAAAATAGTATTAATAATAAATTACTAATATCTATTATATTTAGGTAAATACTTTCTTGTCAATTGTGGATTTCAAAATCATTGATAATTTATTGCTCCATTTCGAGGTGTTCAATACCATTTGTAAGATTTTTCTGGTCAAGGTCGTCATCCCGACGTAGATGCTTAAATTTTGCCTCGGTAAATAAGTTTAATGATGATAACTTTTTGAAACATAAATTAAGTTCAGATGTCCAATGAAATTGTTTCTTAGACCAGTAATCTGAGTTTAAGATAAGTAAGACATCAAGTCATTTTTGCATTTTTGAATTCCAAGGGGTTTCACATCGAAACAGTGCCCAAAAAGTGTCACGGGTGCACCCGTCATACGTCTCGATGCACTGTCTCGATGCACCCGTCATACGTCACACATGCCTTGAGGTGGTTGAACTAAATGAGTTAAGCCTAGAGAAAGACTAGCACCATGATGAGCAAGCCAATCCACACACCTGTTCCCTTCCCCTATACGCATGCAGTACCTTCACTTCCCATTGTCTATTTAGCAAGTCTTTAATGTTCCAAACCAAGTTAGCAACCTGCAAAGGAGGAGCAGCATCTATATTCACTAAACCAACCACCAGCAGGTTATCAACTTCCACCATTCAGAAACTGTTTTTAATTAAGCCAAATTTTCGTTTTTTACCTTGCAAATTGCTAGACAACATAGAAAATGAAAAGTAAATTCGTTTTTAGCAAAACTGTGTCCATATGATTGCCATAAAGGCATTCAGTATTTATTAATTTTACATTAAATCAAGCCTATAGACTAATCCACTTAAAGTCATTACATAGTTATTAGAGAATTAGGCTACAAATCGAGAGAATGTTATTTTTAGAGGAAAGCTACATAGTTATTACCTATTATGTAAGGTACATTTCAGAATTAAAACGTCTACCATTTGATTAATTATATAAAAATCATTTTAATTCTATTAAAGTCAATTAAAATTTATAAAAAAAGTCTCACCGATTCTATTGGACTCTATGTAGAATTCTAATAGAATATGTATAAATCTTAAGAAATCATTCAATTCCATCAAACTTAATAATTCTTTTAAAATATAACACAAGTCTAATCCAACACACCCCTATATATTTTTCACTATATAGAAATATACAATTATTGCAAAAAATAAAGTTTAGCGTCAACGAAGGTTAGTTTGAAAGTAGACGTGTCCACAAGATTTTTTGTTGAAAGTAAAACGATTTGAGTGGAATTAATTTTCTATTATTTCTCAAACCTATAAATACAGCAGTTCCCTATAACAACATAACAAGTACAGCTGTACAAGATAAACACAATTTCGTTATAACAAAATAACAAGTACAGCTGACAAGGATAAACACAATTTCGAAATATAAACAGTTACAAAATTAAGAGATAAATTTGTTGCTAGTTGTTTAGCTTCAATACTCCCCTGCAAGATTGTGGTACCTTGCGTATACCAATCTTGAATCGATTAGCTGCAAATTCTTGGACAACGGTTTGGTTAACAAGTCTGCATGTTGATCTTTGGATGATACATGACTTACTCGAAGCTTGCCTTTTTGAATCAAATCACGCACAAAGTCTAAATCAATCTCAATGTGTTTCATACGTGAATGATACATAGGATTCTGGCACACATAAGTGGTAGACACATTATCGCAATAAATGACTGGCATAGACAGCTTTTGTTTAATACCAAGTTCAGCTAATAAAGAATATGCCCACATAACCTCAGAAGCTGTGGTGGCGACAGCCCTATATTCGGCTTCTGTAGAGCTTTGCGCAACTGATTTCTGCTTGCGAAATGTCCAAGAAATTGGAGTGGTGCCTAGATAAAGAATAAAACCTGTTGTTGACATTCTGTCAGTCGGGTCACCCGCCCAATCGGCATCAGAAAAGGCATGAAGAACCAAGGAAGTCTGTGACTGTATTAGTATCCCATAATCAACCGTTAACTTGAGATAGCGAAGTAATTGTTTTAAAGCATCCCAATGAATAGTTGTTGGACTTTGCATAAACTGAGATAGCTTATTTACTGTAAAACAAATGTCCGGCCGCGTCCAAGTGAGATATTGTAACGCATATTTGTAACGCACCGAACAAGCTTGCATAATTCTTACGCTTGCGATAATTCTTGACATCAACCTCCAACTCTGATTTTGTATTCTTTACAAGAGAAGTACTAGTAGCAGATGGTGTGGATACAGGCTTGGCTCCTTCCATATTCGCAGCAAGTAGCAATTTCCGGATATAATGATGCTGCGTTAAGAACAGTCCAATAGCTGTTTTCTAGATATCAATCCCAAGAAACAAATTTAACTATTGTGGATCTTTAAGAGAAAATTTATTTCGTAGTACACCAATAAATTGCCGAATAATGGAGTGAGAATTTCCTGTCAATAACAGATCATCAACATAAACAAGGAAACAGCACACAAACTAATCCTTATAAAGAATAAACAAAGAATGATACTTCTGGACTGCTGAAAACCAAACTCAACCGCACAAGCACGGAGTGCTTGATACCATGCTCTCGGCGCTTGACGAAGACCATACAAAGCCTTAACCAATTTGCAAACATAATTTGACTTGTCTGGACTTACAAAACTTGGAGGTTGCTGCATATATACTTCCTCCTGCAAAGGACCATGTAAAAACGCATTTTTCACATCTAATTGACAAATATCCCATTTATTAGTCACTGCAAGGGTGAGTATGATCCGAATCATTGCTGGCTTCAGAACCGGGCTAAAAGTTTCTTCAAAATCAACACCAGGGCATTGATTATACCCCTTAGCGACTAAGCGTGCTTTATACTTAGCCACAGAGCCATCCATATTACGCTTAACCCTGAAAATCCACTTACAACCAACCAGATTATAATTAGAATTTGGTGGAACAAGAACCCAAGTGCCATTAGCCATTAATGCATTAAACTCAATAGACATAGCTTCATGCCACTCTGGTTTTTGTAGCGCTTGAGAAACTCGAGTTGGCTCTACAGATTCGGGTAAAGGAACAGATTCGGGTAAAGGATGTTTACTAACATAATGAACAATTTTCGGCTTAAAGATATTATTTTGAGAACGTGTGACCATAGGATGAGTACGAACAGGAACCGTAGAAGACGAATCAGAAGACCCAGACTCAACCGAAGACGCAATAGAAGAATTTAGAGACTCACTAGACATTGTAGACACAGAAGACGACACAGCTGCTGCAGGAGACGACACAGGAGACGAAACAGGAGACTCTTCCATGGACGACGCAGAACTGGAATTTGTACTTGCAGAAACTGGTTGAGAAGAGGTTGAACTAGAATTAGAAGAATCTGAAGTAGACGTTGGAGAAGACATAGAATCAGATATAGGAACAGATGCTACAATCGGTGTAGAAGAACCAAAATCCCTAGAAACTTGAATACCCACACCCGACAAAGACCCAATATCAGATTGAGAAGGGAGTTTTTTATTATTTGATGGAAATGGTACCGTTTCAGATAAAGGCCCACTATCAATATTATACCAAGCACCAGTCTCTTCACAAAGATCACGGAAACAATGTTGTCCAGGAAACTTATTCTCAACAAAATAGACATGTCGTGATACATAAACTCGGCTTGTGGTGGGTTCCATACACAAATAAGCACTCTGGTTTAATGAATATTCTACAAAAATACAAGGCTTTGACTTTTGTTCGAATTTACTTTTGTTCGAATTTGTTTTTATTATAAGGCTTAAGAAAGGGATAGCAGAGGCATCCAAACACTTTTAACTTAGTATAATTTGGATCTTTATGAAAAAGTTTAGAAAAAGGAGAGGTCATTTTTAAAATAGGTGTAGGCAACCGATTGATCAAATACGTTGTTGCTAAAAACGCATATGACCAAAATTGATAGGGTAGGGAAGCAGATTGAAGAAGAGTGAGACCTGTTTCTACCAAATGGCGATGACGACGCTCTGCGGCACCATTGTGCTGCTGTGTATGAGAAGGTGTTTGCAACTGTTGAATTCCATTATCCTGAAAAATTGTTTTGAGAGCAAGGAACTCATCACCACCATCAGTATAGATAGAACTTATTTTGGTTTGAAACAAATTTTCAACTAATTTCTGAAATGCTGGAAAAATCAAAGCAACATCAGATTTAGCACGAGTAGGATAGAACCAAACATACTTAGTATAATGATCAACAATTATCAAATAGTACTGAAAACCATCAATAGATTCAACTGGTTGGTCCCCATAAATCCGAATATAATAGTTCCCAAGACGAGAACTAGAAAGAGTAGAAGTTCCAAACGCGAGTCTATGGGACTTGCCTATGACTCTTATTACAACGACATGAATTACAATCAATAGAAACATCAGAAAATTTAGACAAATTAAATGAAGACAAAATTTGACGACACACTTTAGCAGTAGGATGACCTAATCGCTGATGCCAGAGCAACGAAGAATCATGAACACAAACATTGGCATCAATTGAAGACGAACGACCACTTAATAACGAAGACAGACGATACAGGAAAATTTTAATTTGCCCCCTTGTGATGATCTCCCCCGTGTTGAGATCCTTGACAATGAAACAATCAAAGAAAAACTCAATAGAGACATTGTTAGCTAAACAAAATTTAGAAACAGAAATAAGGTTTTCCTTAGACCTAGGAACACAATAAACATTCTGTAAAGAACAACTTTTCAATGGAAAGGAAAGAACCCTAGAGCCAACATGAGTTATGTGCAAACCTGAACCATCGGTAAGGTGAAGTTCATCTAATCCTTCATATGGAGCATGCAAAGACAAGTTCTGTAAATCATTAGTGACATGATTCGTAGCTCCAGTGTCCAACACCTAGCTCCAAGAATCAGAAGCTGCTACATGATTAGCCCGCGGTGGTGGTCTAGGAAAATTATTCTTGAAGAAGTCCTTTGCACCGTAACACTGCTTGGTATTATGACTCGGCTTATCACAAATCTGACAATGTACTTTGGAACCTCTATTATTCCTGCGCATAGGCTGGGATCGAGAGCCTAAGTTTCCTGAATACCCAGAATCTTCACGAGAACTAGATGATGACTGCGGTCGAGAAGAATAAGAATTTTTGATGACTGCGGTCGAGAAGAATAAGAATTTTTTTCGAACATTATTTGCCACAACAGGTGCTGGATCATAAGCCGAATCAATTTTCTTAACATATACTTCATAAGCGAGAAGCCGATCCTGAAGCTCCGTAAAAGAAATAACAGTATCACGTGCGTGAATTGCAGCAGCAATATCGCGAAATTCAAGTCCAATTCCATTTAATGTACATTTAATGTATAAATCACTAGATCAACGTTAGAGATTGGACTTCCAGACAAAGCTAGATCGTCTGAAATTGCTTTAATAGACTGCAAGTACTCTGAAACTGGTTTAGAATCTCTTTTGCTATTAGCAAGCTTTTCTCGAAGAGACAGAATACGTGTTGCAGATCGGTTTGCACCTGCAGTCTGAATCTTCGCCCACGCATCTACTGAAGTTAGAGCAGTGGAAACAATATGCATAGAGGACACACTCGTGGAAGCACATAGAGGACACACTCGTGGAAGCAATCAATGCTGCCAACACTAGCTGATCCTGACAGACCCAATGATCATAGTCAGGGTTTGAAACTTCTTTATCATCCTTCCTCAAAACTGATAGAGGACGGGGATACGATCCATCAACATACCCTAGGAGAGTATGCCCACGTAGGACAGGAACAATCTGAGCTCTCCATGTCGAATAATTCTGTTGAGTCAGTTTCAGAGGAAACTGAGAGCCATTAATTGAAATCAAAACCTTACCAGACATATGTGTAAGGTTGGAGGTATTTGACGCAGAATCCATTTAAAGGACAATAGGTTTTAGGCAAACGAATAAACTGAGAGTAATGACTAAAGAAGAAAATGCAAAAACCAATAGCTTTTGGCTCTGATACCATAAAATGATTTGAGTGGAATTAATTTTCTATTATTTCTCAAACCTATAAATACAGCAGTTCCCTATAACAACATAACAACTACAGCTGTACAAGATAAACACAATTTGGAAATATAAACAATTACAAAAATAAGAGATAAAATCTGTTGCTAGCTGTTAGCTCAATAGAAAGCTCAATGACAATTTTATGTATTTAGCGAGCATATTAATGAATGATGTTTTTCTTAAAAGACTACAACTTTGAATATTTAAAAAAAAATTCACTAAATGATTTAAAAAATTGAGTTAATTTATAATTACAATGCAATACTTAGCTATTGACTATTAGATATATGTAAGCATGGTCATATTATGGTTCCTAGAACCGGAACCGGTCCGACCCAGAGGTATACGGTTCGGTTCTAATATTTTGGGAACCGTAAACAGGCGGTTCCAAAACCGGTCGGAACCACCGGTTCTAGCCATTACAAACTGTCAGTAGACTTTTAAAAAAAAAAATTTTTGTGAAATCTCTTAATTACCCCTTCCAACAACTATAAACGGCTAGTTTCAAGAGTATTTGTGGAAAAATGATTTTTTGGATTTATTATAAATACCTCATTCCATTTCATTTACAATTTTCTCACACAAAAATCTATACTTTCTCTACTACATTCTACTCTATATTATTTTTCTCTACTCTGCAATCTCTTTAATTTTCATTCACAATTTATTGTGAATTAATTTGTTCAAATTCCAATCTCTAATTATTCTCTCTAATTTTTTTTATTCAATTTTCTAAATTATTCCAATTATTCTAAATTATATATATTTCATATAAATGGCGATTGAGGAAACTCAAATTCTGCTAAGGGTAAGGTAAAGATAATGGAGAAACACAAGTATTCATTCTATCCATACAAAACGAACATCTTCGATTTCACTCCCAAAACCAATTTAATTTTGAGGGATATACAAATGAAAATAGGAAAATCCAACTCAAGAATCAGAAATTTAATAATTAAGCAATTAAAACAAGAGGAAAAAGAAAGAAGCAAGGTACACAACTTCTTCGAAGAGCAGACAATAGTTCCGAACATAATTCGCCATTCATTTCATGACAAAAATCAAAGGTGACAAAATGTTTGATGTAATTTGCCAATTATGTGGAAAATCTTATAAAATTAACCAATCGGGCGGCTATGGATCATTTTGGAAGCATTTGGAGACAAAACATCCAACAAAAAATAGGAGTTGATCGGTCTCTCCCAAACACAAATTTTCGGGTACGCATCTTCTAACCATTTCTTTATTTCCAATATTTTGAAAAAAAAAAAACAAAAAGAAGGGAATTAGCAGAAATGATTTCTATGGAACATTTATCTTTAGTTTTGGTGAAAAAGTAGTCTTAATCAATATTGTCCAAAAAGCTTTAAATTCTTCTGGCTAAAAGATGTGCAAGAGTGCTAAGAAATACTGTAAAATGAACTATTATTTCTTTATATAAAAAAGGAAAAAAAGAGTTAGAGCTTTTATTTTCTGAAATGAAAATTCGTGGTTCAATTACCTTGTACCAATTTCACCCCTTTTACGTTATTCGTTATTTCCACCAGCGGTTGATGTTCCCGTTGAGGACCAACCATAAAGATCATATAAATCTTCATTTTCTTTTAGATTTTCTCGTGCTCTTAGTTCGGCCTTCCTCTAATCATCTACGCATGATTATGCTTCTAGTGAATCGAGTGTCATACGAGCGAGTGTCATACGAGATCGTGTTTCATCAAATATGTTTCCTCATTAACTAAAAGCTTGTTCAACCGCAACAGTGGAGACCGAATCTGCTAAAACTTTTTTTGCAATTAAAGAAAGTATTGAAAATGTATTGGCGTGACGATTTCACCAATCTAAATTTGGAAAATTATTATCTGCATAATCATCACCAGACTAAAAAGAAGTAGTTAGATAATTATCAAATTCAGAAAAAGTTGTCTTTATAGTAAAATGCGTTCAACAACACCAACACTACTTACCCTTTGAGTTGGAAATTGTTGATTATTGAATTGAGAAGAATTAGAAGTAGATGAACTAGAAAATTAAACAAATTCATATTAATCTATAATATTTTGTCTAACTTCATACAATACTACATTTATATAACACTTATCTTCTATATCAAGATTTAATAATTCATAATAAATAGTCAAATATTCACATAAAATATCAATTTTACATCTAAGATCAAATACAATTAGCAACAAATTAAATGAAGTGGTATATTTTTTAAAATTAAGATAACCATTTTTTTTTCATTGAAAAAAACCACAATCTTTAATATAAAATCATTTTCAAATTCTTGGAGTGCACTACAAATTATACACATAGATTAAAAAAATAAATGAGATGTTGGATAATAAACCCACTAAATTTATAGGTAGGCATCATTAAAAATTGTTAAAATATCTAAAATTTTTGGGATTAAATATTCCAATTTTGTAGATATAAATTAATTGCTTCAATATTATTAGTAACAAAAATGCCACAATAATTTCTTTATACTAAAAAAGAACTCGTTTAATAATTATATGTTAAAATTTCCAACGAGTTAGGGACATCCCTTGGAAAAACTTTTTTGGTCTTTTATTATTTCCTTACCAAAAATTTAGCCTAACTTTTCATTACTTAGAAAATGTCCCCATAAAATATGAAATAAAAATTTTCGTAATTGGAGAATATAAGATTCAAGAATTTTTAAACCATTTTTGGTTAACACATTTTTAAATTTAAAAAACATGGCAAGCACATCTTATATTGAAAAATTTTCCACCAATATTTAGTTCACAAATATTTTTAAGTTCAATAATTGATTTAATGTTAGCAAAAAAAGGGAGCATTATCAAATGAAATTGAAAAAAATTTTTTTTGTAACTTATATTCATCTAAAATTGAAACCAATTATTCTATAAAATATTATTTGCAGAAACAATTATTCTATAAATATTATTTGCAGTATGTTTATCATCAAAAGCACGAAATGCAATAATTTTTTTTTGAATTTTCCAATTATTATCAATTCAATGACATGTAATGCCTATATAAAAATGCATTTGCCAATGATCACTCCAAATATCACAACAAATTGAAACACGAATTTTGATTTCAGAAAATAAAAACTCTAACTCTTTTTTTCCTTTTTTATATAAAGAAATAATAGTTCATTTTACAGTATTTCTTAGCACTCTTAAAGCTTTTTGACAATATTGATTAAGACCTACTTTTTCACCAAAACTAAAAGATAAATGTTCCATAAAAATCATTTCTGCTAATTCTTCTTTTTGTTTTTTTTTTCAAAATATTGAAATAAAGAAATGTTAGAAGATGCGTATCCGGAAATTTGTATTTGAGACCGATCAACTCCTATTTTTGTTGGATGTTTTGTCTCCAAATGCTTCCAAAATGATCCATAGCAGCTCGATTGTTTAAATTTATAAGATTTTCCAATAATTGCAAATTTACATCGAACATTTTGGTCACTTTTTGAATTTTATCGTGAAAATTGTCGTGAAATGAATAGCGAATATGTCGAAACTTTGTATTGCTCTTCGAAAAAGTTGCATACCTTTGTTTTTGCTCTTTCTCTTCCTCTTGTTGTAATTGCTCATTATTAAATTCAGATTCTTGAATTAAAATTTTCATATTTTCATTTGGATATCCCTCAAAATTAAATTGGTTGGGAGTGAAATCGAAAACGTCGTTTGTAAGGATAAATGAATATTGTGTTTCCAATCTTTCCCTTGCCCTTAACAGAATTTGAATTTCCTCCACTTGCCATTATATGAAAATAATATATAATTTAGAAAATTGAATAAAAAAAATTAGAGAGAATAATTAGAGATTGAAATTATAAATTAATTCACCAATAAATTGCTTGAATGAAAATTAAAGAAATTTGCAATATAATTTAGAAAATTGAATAAAAAAAATTAGAGAGAATAATTAGAGATTGAAATTTGAATAAATTAATTCACAATAAATTGTGAATGAAAATTAAAGAAATTGCAGAGTAGAGAAAAATAATATAGAGTAGAATATAGTAGAGAAAGTAGAGATTTTTGTGTGAGAAAATTGTAAATGAAATGAAAGGAGGTATTTATAATAAATTCAAAAAATCATTTTTCCACAAATACTCTTGAAACTAGCCATTATTTAGCCGTTTATAGTTGTTGGAAGGGGTAATTAAGAGATTTCACAAAAAAATAATAAAAAAAAGGTCTGCTGACAGTTTGCAATGGCTAGAACCGGCAGTTCCATCTGGTTCCGATCGGTTTTGGAACCGCCTGTTTGCGGTTCCCAAAATATTAGAACCGAAACCGAACCGTATACCTCCAGTTCAGGTACTGGTTCGGACCGGTTCCGGTTCTAGGAGCCATAATAAGGCCATGCTTTGCTGCGACCCTGTATTTTATTGGTTGTAGTTGAATTACAAAGCCACAGCAAGTTTTTGAAATGCCAACAGCCAGAAGCTTTGATTTAGCATTAACATTTTTCAGCAGCTTTTTTGAATTTCTTCAAGTCTCTCCTCTACCTCTCTCATTGTGATTTGTTTCCAAGAGCACTCTTGCATTACCAACCACCTTAATGACCTGAGGATTATGAAAATTGCAATTGCAATCAAGATTCGCGAGACAAAGCTGAATAGAATCTAAGATTATTCCAAACTTGTTCAATGACGTTCCAATCATCCCAATCCGGTGCTCCAGTTCTTCATTTACTTGACCTGCTCAAATAAATAGAAACTTAAGTGTGCCGTGTAAAGAAACCCACAAAACATTTTTTTTTTAACTTAATTGAATTTATTTCATATCAGCATAAAAGATTACATTTATGATCTAGAATAGATGCAATATTCCATTTACACATTAAATTGGTAGAAGATCTTGAGATTGGCATTTGGCTCTCTTCCACACGCATAGCTGACTGGGGGCAAGGAAGATGTCTTCTTCACAGAGTTCTCTCATTCCAGAGAATTAAATCTCTGTATATGGATATTTTATTTTACTTTGGTCTATATTAGATCAATCAGTAATAACATAGTGAAGATAATTATTTTACTTTTACATTATCAATGTACTTCTAATGTATCTGCTATTAAGAGGAAGGCAGAAAGCGCAAGTATAATCTAAAGGCTATAACTATAACATTTAGGAGGGTAAAGGAGTGTGCAACTAATCTGTTGTAGATAGAGTTCAGGTTCAGGGTAACAAGATACCATCAAAACTCAGTGAATTACTTGTCCATCAAACCATATAGAAATTAGGGATAACAAAATTTATTACATTCTCAGTTTTAATGTTTCACTCGTCCTGATCCTGAACATGAAAAAGAAGCATCTCAGCTAAAATTAATGTACTTCATGGCATAAACTAAAACTCAAAGTAACAAATTTTGACTTCTTCAATTTGGTCCTTAACAAATGTTTCATAGATATGTTCATTATAGTGCCCATCCACCTATCTAGCTCCCAACTAACACTGACAGATATAGAAAGATCAAACTTAATTTGAGAAGTAATAACCATCACACAAAATTCTGAAGACACCTCAATAATAATATAGAAATGCAAATAATATAAAATTAAACGAAATTGAAACCTGTAGATATCAAAACTGAGCTCCTTGAGAAAAAGCTCGGGAAACCCCTCTCTCAAAGTCCTCTTCATCTTGGCTCTGTTTTGTTTCTTGCTTCACTGGAACCAATAATTGGCAGTACAAATTCATGCTCTGATTCAATTACGAAACCCTAATCTCACAGCCTTTAACACCAATCCTATCAACAGATACAGCCCTAGCCCTAAATCCAATCCTCTCATCATATATGAACACAGAGAGACCCTTAATAATTTTAAGGTTTGGGTTAGGGTTAAAGAGAATTTTCACGGCCAAGATCTGTGGGATCGGATGAGAAGTGCCATTGGAAGAACAAGGTTTTGTATGAATTCGAAGGCACAGGAAGAGTGAATTAGAGAAAAAAAATACGAAATAATGGCATTTAGTGGTCAGTTGGAGGGAAAATTGAAAGGGTAAAATAGGAATAATAAATAAAAAACTGGTTAAGCGTGAATTCACTGTTCAATGAACAATGAATTTGGTTTTTATTTTAATATATACATAATGTATAGTATTAGCCCAAATACATTATTTAACTTTTGAATTTTGAAAAAAAAAAAAAAATTATGACAACTATAAAATTGATATTGTGAACTCGTGAATTTCACTTTTTATAACAATTTCACACGTACTTACCTTAAAATCAGTAAATTTTAAGATTTTTTATTTTTATATATAAAATATTAATTTAATATGTGGTTAATACAACTTTTGAAACAATAAATTTTACATTTTTTAATATCTCAATAAGTATTTAATAGATATAATTTTATAAATTGAGGTATTTAATGAATCAAATAAAATGTTTAGCATGTACAATTTTAAAATTAAAGTGTGTAATGAGTCAAAATAAAAATTGAGGATGCTACAAGATTTTTTATAAAATATACAATGTGAATTTACATATTAAGTCAAATACTACCTCAGTTTCATAATACTTATCATATTTAAAAAAATAATTTGTTTTAAAATACTCGTCACATTTATAGTTTGAAGGAGTAATAAATATTTTTTTTTTTCATATTTACTTTTAATATATGATCAATAATTATTATTTTGATTTAATGAATTTCTTAAAGAATTAATGTTAAATTAAGAGTAATATAATTAATAATTTATTATAATTTAAATAAATTTAATTTTTTTTAAGAGAGTATGAAATTTAAAATGCCACGAGTATGGTTTAATATAAATAGTAATATGAATGGTGGGTTGGGTTAGAGTCGATGGCCTACAAACCCACTACAAAACAAAACGCGCCAAAAAGAGCGCGCCAAAAAAACACAGCATTCACTCTCCAATTTGTCTCCCCCCAGAATCCAGTCCCCAAAACTAATCAAAATTCTCTTTTCAAAATTAGCAGGCCCCACTTATCAATGCCATTTGCCATAACAGCTCCACTCTCTCTCACTCTCGCCAGCCTTGCCCTACCAACCATCACCCACATTCCACACAACACCCGCCCCCCTTTGAAAGCATATAACGCTCCTCCTCAATTTTGGCGCGAAATTTCCAAATCCCAAAAATCCGCCTTAGAGGGAAACCAAATAAAACCCTAAAACATTCCCCAAATTTCAAAACCCAACTCTCTGCCTCTATATAACAAGCTCAGTTTGCTTTTTTTGTATGTGACCAAGACCTGTTTGATAAAACTCCTGAAAAAGAAAAAAAAAAAGGAATTAGAGAAAATGTATGTGGTGAAGAGAGATGGGAGACAAGAGGCCGTTCACTTTGACAAGATTACTGCTAGATTGAAGAAGCTGAGCTATGGGTTGAGTATGGAGCATTGTGACCCTGTGCTGGTGGCCCAGAAGGTATGCGCTGGTGTCTACAAGGGTGTTACTACTAGCCAGCTTGATGAATTGGCTGCTGAGACTGCTGCTGCCATGACCGCTAATCATCCTGATTATGCCTCGGTGAGTTTTTTTATTTTTTTATTTTTTTATATATAATTCTTTTGGGTTGTTTTAATTTTATTTTTGTGTTATATGACTTCTATTATCTCATGGTTAGTATGGCGGATGGGTTGATTTGTTGTATCTTTTGTTTGAGATGTGATGAGGATTGTAGGTGGGATTCTTGAGGTTTTATGTCAATTTTGCATATTCGCAGGAATTTTGTTTAAGTACCGTGTTTTATTTTGTTTTGAAGATTGTTGGCACTGAATTTGCATTTTTGGTTTACCTTCTGTTTATTTGTTGTGGTTACTGTGTTGGTAGATTGGTGCGTTGAGACTCTTTTTACTTCAGAGAATAGTCGTGTTAGTATCATAAAGTTGATCTTTTGATTACTGCGACAAAGTTTAGGCACTCGTGAAATTTTGATTCAAAATTAATGTTTATGTCAGAATTTCCCGTCAAGGCATCTATATTTTTGGTTTATTTATCATTTTTCTTTCTTATTCATACAGTTGGCTGCAAGGATTGTTGTTTCAAATCTGCATAAGAACACTAAGAAATCATTTTCAGAGACGTAAGTTATATGAAAGTTTGATGACCAATCTTCAATTCAGTTAACCTATGCGATATTTCTAAGAAATTGTTTCATGTGATATTTGTTGTTGGTTGTTGCAGGATTAAAATCATGTATAACCATTTTAATGAGAGATCTGGGTTAAAGGCTCCTCTGATTGCTGATGATGTTTATGAGATAATCATGACGGTATGTATTACATATTAAGTTGCATTATGAATTTTTCTTGCTTCCATTATGGGAGTTAGGACTGTGTTAAGAGGGGATTCTGGCATTTTTGTACTTAAGGTCTCATTCAGTTGGATAAAGGCCTTAACTGAAGACCAAAAAGTACTATTTCAGTTCTTGGAAATTGCAATATGTTTTTGCTACTTTCTCAACTAATGATCTCTGTTGCTTTTTTTGTGATAAAGAAAATATTTGATTTCTAATTCAATGCTATTTCTATTAGCTTTTTTTTTTTCTCCCTGACAAATGATCATGTGAGACATTTGTAATTATATAGTTGAGTAATCCTTCTAAGCCGATTGACTAAAAATAATTCATAATAATATTCATCATTACTGGAAAAAAGTAGTTGAAATGTCATTTTTAGTTACAAGGAGTTCTTATGGATGTTAAGAAAGTAACAATTGAAAAATTAAGGGTCCACTTTACTGCAGACAGATATATCTGCTGTTCTATGATGTTCAATCTTGGGTTTTACTTGAATTATTTAACAATTCTTGATTTGTATCAGAATGCTGCTCGCCTGGACAGTGAGATCATTTATGATCGAGACTTTGACTATGATTACTTTGGGTTCAAGACTCTGGAAAGGTCCTACCTCTTAAAAGTTCAAGGAAAAGTTGTAGAGAGGCCTCAGCACATGCTGATGAGGGTTGCTGTTGGAATTCACAAGGATGATATTGATTCAGCTATCAAAACATATCATTTGATGTCTCAGAGATGGTTCACTCATGCTTCTCCCACCCTTTTCAATGCTGGAACGCCAAGGCCTCAGGTATGTTTTATATCAAGTAGCTTGTACTTTGGAGTACTGTTTGTTTCTTAATGTATGTCAACAACTAATACATTTTTTTGATGGCCCATTCTGCCAGTTGAGCAGCTGCTTTTTGGTGTGCATGAAAGATGATAGTATTGAAGGCATATATGATACTTTAAAGGAGTGTGCTGTCATTAGCAAATCAGCTGGAGGAATTGGTGTCTCTGTTCACAACATTCGTGCCACAGGCAGCTATATTCGTGGAACAAATGGAACATCTAATGGTATTGTTCCAATGTTGCGGGTGTTTAATGATACTGCCCGTTATGTTGATCAAGGAGGAGGCAAAAGGAAAGGTACGTTCATTGTGGATATCTCATATTGACAGTTTAAATATGAAAACTTGATGGTAAAACCATTGCCTGACATGATGTAGGTGCTTTTGCTGTGTACTTGGAGCCATGGCATGCTGATATATTTGAGTTTCTGGATCTTAGGAAGAACCATGGAAAGGTGAAAATTAGCAAATTCTTCATTAACACCTTATTTCTCCAAATTCAATAATATGTTCTCCTTAGGACTTCCAGATTACTTACATAACTTGAAACATGTAAACTTTACTTCTATGCAGGAGGAGCACCGAGCTAGGGATTTATTCTATGCACTTTGGGTGCCTGATCTATTTATGGAAAGAGTCCAAAGTAATGGGCAATGGTCATTATTTTGCCCTAATGAGTCTCCTGGTTTGGCAGATTGTTGGGGTGAAGAATTTGAAAAACTGTACACCAAATATGAGAGAGAGGTGAATTTCACTGTATGTGAACTTATTGCATTCGTTTCTTATGGGTATGTAGTTACTAACACTCATGTTTTACACTTAGGGCAAGGCAAAGAAGGTTGTCCAAGCACAGAACCTCTGGTTTGAAATTTTGAAATCTCAGATAGAAACTGGCACACCTTATATGGTTTTTAAGGTGATTTATTTCTAACATGATATTTTTTACATAGTTTTATCATTTATTAATATTATTCCCTTGGTTTGATTTAGGCTTTTGTGTTGCTTTTGTTTTTTTCATTTCTCCCAGGATACCTCCAACAGAAAAAGTAACCAGCAGAATCTGGGTACTATAAAATCTTCAAATTTGTGTACAGAGATAATTGAATATACAAGTCCAACAGAAACTGCTGTCTGCAATCTGGCTTCTATAGCTCTGCCACGATTCGTGAGAGAAAGGGTGAGCAATAGCTTGAACCTGGTTAGGTAAATTCTCTCGTGTCCTTGTATGCATGTTGTTTAACTCTGCTTTCTTTGTTTGTTTGTTTTTAGGAGATTCCAGTGGAGTCTCATCCATCTAAGATTGTTGGAAGTAGAGGTTCCAAGAGTAGATACTTTGACTTTGACAAACTTGCAGAGGTTTGTATTCCAGTTGTCATTTAGGATGTTATGGTAGAACTTGTGGAACTGAATATTTTCTTTAGTAAACTTGCCTGTGACTTCATATCCTTTGCTTTTTTGGGACAGGTTACAGAAGTAGTTACAACCAATCTTAACAAGATAATTGATGTTAATTACTACCCTGTGGAAAATGCAAAGAGGTCAAATTTTCGACACAGGCCAATTGGCATTGGAGTTCAGGGACTTGCAGACACTTTCATCTTACTTGGGATGGCATTTGATTCGCTAGAGGTAAAATATACACAAACTGATATCTTGACTGAACTGTAGCTAGGATAAGTGATCTGATTTGATAGTTTTGTGATAATTGATTTCAGGCTCAACAGCTGAATAAGGACATATTTGAAACCATTTATTACCATGCTCTTAAAGCCTCATCTGAGATAGCTGCCAGAGATGGCCCATATGAAACATACATTGGAAGTCCTGTTAGCAAGGTATACCTAGTTTCTTCAGACTGATAAGCATGTGGAAGTATTAATATTTGCTTGGTTTTTATTTTCCATTTTTGTTGTATAATTGATGCCATAACCCTTTCATTGATTTCAACATCTCTATTATGTATTATAAATTATGTTTTAAAGTTTGATTTTTCTAAGATTTCCACTTAGCTCACCAAATCTAAATTGTATATTGAATTGTTCAGGGAGTTCTGCAGCCTGACATGTGGAATGTAACTACTTCAAGTAGGTGGGACTGGGATGTCTTGAGAGAAATGATATCTAACAATGGAGTCAGAAATTCACTACTTGTAGCACCAATGCCAACTGCTTCGACCAGTCAGATTCTTGGAAACAATGAGTGCTTTGAGCCATATACTTCCAACATCTATAGTCGCAGAGTTTTAAGGTTCGTTCTACCATTAAATTCTGTTCAGCTTTTGTTATGACCAGTTGTCTTGTGCTACCTTCTAATTCTATTATCCTTTTGCAGTGGTGAATTTGTTGTGGTCAACAAACATCTTCTGCATGACCTAACTGAGATGGGCCTTTGGTCCCCTGCTCTCAAAAACAAAATAATTTATGAGGATGGCTCTGTCCAAAAAATTCCAGAAATTCCCGATGATCTGAAGCTTATATACAAGTATGTATATGCAATTTTCTTCATGTATGTTATCATCTTCTACGCTCTTCTCTCAGTCCATGCTAATACTATTTTGTGGTAACTAGGACTGTTTGGGAGATCAAGCAAAAGACATTGGTAGATATGGCAGTTGACCGTGGATGCTATATAGATCAGAGTCAAAGCCTTAACATACACATGGATCAACCCAATTTTGGAAAGTTAACTTCCCTGCACTTCTATGCTTGGTCCAAGGTAAATGCTGAAATAATTCCTGCCACCATACAGTGCATGTAGTCTACAATTCCGGTATTTATATAAGTTAATGCTTGTGACTCATATAATTAGCTTCCAGTTAGGATGGTCTGATGTCTGATGTCTCTCATCTGAGATAGTGAATGTTAACTTCCTCCTACTGCTTTTCTGCTAGTTGTAATTTTATGGCATGCTAGCGTTGGGAGATCTTGATTTGGCCCTTTACTCTGGGACTAATGCTATCATTTTTTAATTTTGTAATTGTTCCTTTTTTGTATAAAGGGTTTAAAAACAGGGATGTATTATCTTCGATCACGTGCTGCAGCTGATGCCATCAAGTTCACTGTTGATACTTCTCTTCTTCAAGTAATTATCAGTCACTGCCATAAGAGTTTTAACCATTTATGCTTTCACATTTTATTCTAAATAATTCTTTTTACTGGTAATGCAGGAAAAGAAAAGTTTGGCTGCTGAAGATGATGGTACCAAAATGGCTCAGATGGTTTGCTCTCTTACTAACCGTGAAGAGTGCATGGCTTGTGGCAGTTAGAGAGCATGAAGTTCTTTTGTTCAAGGTTCTGTTATATTTGGAAGCATTAGAAATTTAAACATATAATCAAATATACGACTTAAATTTATATAACTTTAAGTCTTTGTATAGGCTAATCGTGTATTGGTTGTTAAATATTTAGCTAGACATTGTACTTACACGTATAAAAGTTGGGACTGGAATTTCAATTACAGTTATGGAAGCTATTGTTTTGTACATTGTTTTTAGATGTCCCAATTGGTTATTCTGCAGCTTTAATAGCTCAGGTAAACATTTCCAAATGTATTCTAGTTTGTTTAGAGAGAAGACAATAGCCTTTGCGGTTAACTATTTGGGCTAAGCTTCGTTGGCAGACTCTCTCCATTAAATTAGGTTTGGTATTTGACAAATGTTAATCTGGCGGTCAATGCTGTGCAATTATAGTATTTATCATTGATGGTTGACAATATTAATTTTCACAGGTAATAACTCAACTCAATTCTGAAGTTTTGACAAACCAACTGCTTGTCTAAGAGTAGAATACGCTTGAATTTTTAAATTATATTTTAATTAGTCATCTTCATTCTTTGAATGAAATATATTCATATTTTGAATTGGTCGGGTTCTTTTGTTAAGTTAAAGTTGAAATATCATCACAGGTTATTTCTATTTACTTGATTCATTAAATTAGTGAAAATTAATATAGTCGACTAATGTGGTCAAGAAGGTTTTGAGGAGTTGAATTCAAGATCTTTCATTTTTCATATAAGTGAGAAGATCAGATCAATTAGACCATCATTTAATTAATAAATGATAATAATTTTCAAAAATAAAGATTAAAGTGTTAATTAGAATATAATTTAGAAATACAGTTATGTTTCACCTTCTAAAATTGGTGGTTGGCAAGTTTTGCCGGTGTCAGAGAAGTTGACTTGAAATCTAAAGCTTAGTTTGAGTTAAATTTTGACAATTTGGGTGTAAAGTTGCTATGTGGCCTTACATGACTGGAAACAATTAGATCCCATCCACATGATTTCAATTGTAAGATTGTAATTGTGAAATTTATTAATGAATGAGAATTTTCCATATTACGTCTCAATTAATATTTAAAATTTTCAAATACTACAAGGCGTCAAAAATTAAATTCTTGTCCTTTATGTAATACGAAATTGCATAACTGAAAAGCTTGCATGAAAAATTCAATGTTTGTAGAAGAAAAATGTTAAATGTGGGACTGAAATTGATTGATTGATACAATTAAGGTTTGATGAAGAGAAGAGAATAAAATAGCTAGATTTGGTCTGTGGGTTTTACCAAATCTATGGCTTTCTGTTGTGTCGGAACCGTCCTAAAAAGGCTTGTTTGTGACTCGGACAAAACATTGTGCAGTGGAAAGTACGAAAACAGTACGCGTGTCCAAATCCAGGGCCCTAATTGAAATTTCTAATGCGAGTTTCAATCTAGAAATATCTACGGAGAAAGTGCCCTTTTAAAGAACGTGGGACCCATGTTTGGTACTTTGCATCAAATGTTAGAAATATCGGCGTTTGAAGTGGTATTTAATGCTTTGATTGTTTTAAAATATTATTTTAATTAATTATTATGTTTGATAGTGTCATATTTATCTTAATATTTAAAATTTGAATAATTTTATCTTCACTTCATTGCATTATGATTAATATCCATTTGAAAGTATTAATTGATACTAAATCTAAAAACAATTACTTACTGCACATATAATTTATTTTTATGTAAATTAATAAAAATAATCTCAGCATTCATATCTCTAATTTTTAGTGCATAAAATTAAAAAATTTTATTATATACCTTTTCTAATTGTTTATGTAAAATCAATTATAATAAAAAAAATTTTTCTATATCACAATCTTTTGTCATTCTTTCAAGTCAAGAAGTTGTATAAAGAGTATTATAACCATATGATCACCGTTACAAAATCGCTTTATAAAAAAGTAGAACCGAAAATAAATCGCTTTAGGACAATTTTTAAAATGATTCTGAAATAATATGTTTTAGTTCTGTTTTAGTTTGAAATTGAAATTAGATAATTTTTTCATATAGTTTGAATTAATAATAATCATAAATAAATAAATAATAAATGGTACTATTAGAAAAGCTAAACCAATTTAACAAAAAGTATTAAAATTTATTTTAAAAAATTATAATAAAATAAAAAAATATTACTGATAATTTTTTTTTAAAATAATTTTTTTCAGATTTGGTTAACTCATTCAACTTCTTTATGAAATTTCAATGGGTTGGTATTTGCTGGTGTTGTGATTTTCTTTATATATTGTCATTTTCTTTTTTAACTCTTTATATTTATATATTATTTTTTTTGTATAATATTAAATATTAGTTGTAATTTTTCTTTTATGTTGTCTAAATTTTTATAATGTTAAAAAACAATTCTATTTTGAAATTAACATGAATATTATGGTTGATTAATAAAAAATAATAATTATAAAATGTCATGGGTTGGTATTTGCTGGTGTTGTGATTTTTCTTTATCATATTTGGTCACTTTTTTCTGTTTTAACTCTTTATATTTATCAATATATTAGATTTTTTTTGTAAATAATATTGAAATATTAGTTGTAATTTCTTTTATGTTTGTCTAAAATTTTTTATAATGTTAAAAAACATATTCTATTTTGAAATTACATGAATATTATGGTTGAGTATGATGACCAAATAATTTTATAAAAGCTGTATATATAGCCTTAAGTTATATTTATTTTATATTTAATATGTATTTCCAAGCACTTTCAATCTTAATATACCTTTCTCCATTAAAAACTTCTATAATCGCAATTTCAATATAAGTTTATAATTTCCAACTATAGTTTATTGAAAGCATAAATCATTGTGATTTTTTTTTTTTTTTTTTTTACCTCATTGCTTGTGCCTAATTTTTAGATCGGAACAATGTAATTATGATATAATTAGATTAATTTAATATTTAACTGTCTATTTCAGTTTGCTCCAATTTTTTTGTTGATTGTAAATATTAAGTGTTTAATTAAAAAAACAAATAAATTTTTTTAGTTAGATTAAATATGATCCAAGACCTAAAATCTTTTTTTTTTTTTTTTTACTCATTGCTTGCCTAATTTTTAGATGGGACAATTAATTATATATAAAATTAGATTAATTTAATATTTAACTGTCTATTTCAGTGCTCCAATTTTTTTTATTAAAATTAAGTGTTTTAACAAATAAATTTTTTTATAGTTAAATATGTCTGACCAAAATTTCGTATTAAAAAAAATCAAAATAATCCTATTTCTTAATTTTATTCATTTTTCTAATTTTTCTTTCTTTCTTGTTTCATTCTATCTTCATCACATCAGCCTACAGATCGAAATGCAAAATGCGTTTAAGATAATATTGATTGCAAATTTAAATTTGTTTTGTGAAATTTCAAAATACTTTATTTCGTTTTTTCATATAGATTTATGAAAAAGCTTTAACGGCATTCTTCACTTACCTTCAAATTGCTCAGGTTTCTTGGTAATAACTAATAATAATCAGTTATCAATGTTTAGTGATTAATTTAATATAACAAGTTTTTTGAAGGAAATTAATATAACAATTGAATAGCTCAAATCTGGTAATCTAGCAATATTTTGTGATTAATAATTTAATATAACATTACTGGCTAAAAGCTAACCCGAATGAAGTAATTTTAAAATGAAGAGTAATTGAGAAATTAATCGCTATAGTTTAGATTATGACTTGGATCTTTTATAATGTAAATTTCTCGAAGCTAGCTCCTTTTCAAGCGGAGATTAATCAAATTTATTTTGAGCTAGCCTTGTTACTTTCAGAGATAGACGGAGATCAGTTGGATTTATAAACCGTTAACATGAGATCTTCTTGAGTGTTCTAGTCAAACATTTGGTTTGGTTATATTCTCTTATTTGGAGTTCACATTCATCGTATTATCCAATTGTAAAACCGCGTTACGTTGATGTTGACTGCTGACGGCGATCCCAGTTGACTCGTTGACCATGATTACGTGTGCAGACACATCCAAACCGCCAAATGTACAGTGTCAAACAAAGCAAAACAATTTTTCTTTTTTTAAAAAAAAAAAAAAAAAACAGATATACACATGTGAATTTAATTAATTTAAATGCACTAATCTAGTTATATTCTAATCTAGTTACTCTAGTTAGAATATACAGGTCAAACAAAGCAAACTAATCTAGTTATCTTCTAGAATTAGGTTATGAAAAATATAATTGAGACTATTAATTAATTTAATTACTAATTGCTATTACAATTAGATTATTAGTTTAACAATTTTATTTCCAAGTATTGACCCAGCAAGTTTTTGAATTTGACTCAATAAAGTATAAACTCGAAATAATGTTAAAAGTTTGCGAAATTACGTTATGATCTATGTAGTTTGTGAAATACAACCAATTTATCTTTATCTTTTCTAAAGTATATCAATTTGTCTTTATGGTATGTTTCCGTTCTACAACTAGGTCGTCTTATTCATTTTTTGCATATTTTCCATTAAGTCAGTAAGAACACACAGAGATCAAATGAGAGATTCAAAAACATTATATCAATAAAATTACAGTATGGTTCCTATGGTTTGAAAAATACAACTAGTTTGTTTTGTGTTTTTAAGAATAAAAGGGATATTTTTGTCATTTTATAAGGTACTTCACAGAAAAAAATAAAAAATTGGACATAAGGACTTTATAATTTGATGAGAGTAAACTATAAGAATGTTTTAATCTATTTTATAAAAGACATGAATAAATTAATTATATTTCACAGTACACAGAAATCTTATTATACTTTTCCCTAAAAGTTTTCATAAACATAAGCTCCATAAAATTTGAAACTCACATTAGTTTAATATGCTTGAAGTCTACCTTTTACAACCCACCTAATTAACAAACAACTAATATTTGTCTAACTAAAGCTTATTAGTATGTAAAAAGAATAAGTTGATGCTATTGCTTTATTTTATACTCTCTTTCCCTTTTTTTTTTTTTTTTTACTCACACTCTCAGTCCAATATAATTATGCTTGAAGTTCTAGAACCTTTACAACCCCACCTAAATTAAGCAAACAACTAATATTTGTCCCTAAACTAAAGCTTATTAGTATTAAAAGAATAAGTTGTTTATGCTATTGCTTATTTTATACTCTCTTTCCCTTTTTTTTTTTTTTTTTATAGCCTTTTTTTTTCCACTTAGATCTTTCCCTTTTTTTTTTTTTTTTTACCTTTTTTTTTCACTTAGATGATATTTTTAGAAAATTAGAGTAACATTAATTATTTTATTTTAATTTTATTATTGTTTAAATATCTGTATAACTCTTGTTTCAATTAAATAAGTATTGATTAAAAGATAGTTAATTAATAATGTTTATTTTTTTTCTAAAATTAAAGCAATTTATTGTTTCATTGATTATTGTGAAAAGTTAAAAATGGTCAAATTTAACAGAATGGAGACTATGTCTTTTCATCTAAAACAAGCATGACTGCATCAAAATTAGAAGTTTTAAAATTTATATAATAATACTTCTTACTTGTTATTTCTTTTTTAAATATCTCAAAATATTTACAATATTTTTAAATTTAGACATGTAAATAATTATTTTTTCTATAATAACATTTATAATTGTTCATTGAATGAAAAACTTTTAGTATCTTAATGAGTTATTAAGAGTAAAAAAGTGCAAAATAATTTTTGTTGACTTAATTATTTATATACGTGTTTTATCAAACCATGCAAATAAAATGGGACGAAGGGAATATATATTTTAGTAACATTAAAAGAGTTTGATTTGAAAACTATATATTTTGAGTAAAAACTCTCTATGCAGAACCAAAAAATTGAAGTGTAGAGAAAAATGAAAAATATACTTTTTATTGACATATATAATTTAAATACTTTTATGTTTTTTTTATTTTTATTTTTATTAATTTCTCTTTTTGTACAAGGAAAAAGTCTTGACGGCTGACCAATTGTCGTCATTGTATTTATATCTTATCCATTAATATGGATAAAGATATTTTTTTGGTCTGAAAAGTAATGTGGATAAGACTCTCTATTCTATAATATTTATTATATTTTTTAAATTTCATATTTTTTAATATAAATTTCATATTTTTATAAAATCATTTAAATTCATTTAAATTTTATAATAAATTTATTGAAATAAATTGATTATATTATTTTTAATTTAAATAACTAATTTTTTTAAAAATATTAAAATTGAAATAAATAATTATTGGGTCATATACAAAAGATAAACAGAAAAAAAAATTATTAACTTTTTGAGATTAACAAATGTAATAAGTATTTTTGAACAAATTATTGTTGAGTAATAAATATATGAACGGAGGTAATAATTTTTTTATATTATTTTTAATTTAATACTAATTTTTTTAAAAATATTAAATTGAAATAATAATTATTGGTCATATACAAAAGATAAACACGAAAAAAAAATTATTACTTTTTGAGATTACAAATGTAATAAGTATTTTGAACAAATTATTTTGAGTAATAAATATTATAGAACGGAGGTAATAATATTTTATAAAAATATAATTGATTTCATAATCCTTTAAATATAACCTTATTTTCTCATTGAATTCTTTACTGAAAGTCCCCTCGAATGTTAATACAGTGACATATTAAAATTTTTATTATTCAAATAATATTTTAATATATATGAAAATATAAACAAGCTTCAATGTGGAACGAAGGGACCAGCAGATGAAACAAAACGTTTACAAAATTCTACAAACAAAGATCAGGTCATAGCTTCATTTACTTTTATTAGTAGCAAGTTTTGATAAATTTCTCCTTTGAAAAGTTTAATTCCCATAAAGCAACAAGTTGACTTCCACCAATAAATAAATACTTACCTACACTATATGGACCAATTATCATTTTTTATTATTTTTCTTTTTTTTCAATAAAAGTTCATATTTTGTTTTGGCTTCACCGTCAATTTCACTCTGAATTCTTCCGAGTAGTTGTAATTCTAAATCGACTTTTGTAAGTGCTCTAAATTTATCAATTTAGTTTCAATTATATTCTAATTTACTTTTAAAGTGCAATTAACACCTTAAAAGTGAATTAGAGCACCCTGAATTTATCGGTTTGTTACAATTCTACCCTAAAAATAAATTAAAGTTCGAATTCTAATTAAAATAATATAAAAATAGACTTTATAACCAATTCGAACTTAGTTAAATATAATACATAATATTTTAATTAAAATAAAAAATTTATTGTTTTGCTTGTTTTGTCCTTCAACTTATTATCTTTCTCTTCTCGCAGGAAAATCAACTAATGGCTACAAAGACATGGCAAAACAATTCTCATATTTGTTTCGTCGTTCTAGGAAGTATAACTTTGAATTGGGACTAAGTTGACAGTTACTCCCTAAAAGCAAATTGGGACTAAGTTGACAATTTAAAATTTCCAAAATACAAAAGTTGATTTAAATAAAAGTCACAGTTACAATTACTCTAAAAGTTCGGGTGGAATTGAAGGTTAAATCTATTTTGTTTTTCCATTATTAGATTTATTATATGTTTTGAGTTTTGAGAAGATATACATTTATTCATATGGATAAATTAAAATTATTACTGGAAAGTTATTATCTTCACAGAAATTCATATCTAAGTATATTTATTTAGAGGTAAGCGCACCCATGAATGGTTCGAAACGTGAAATCAATTATTTTATTTATTTTATTAATAAAAAACAGTTTAATTTAATTTAATTAATTGGGCAAACAATGCATTCTTAGTGAGCCGACACATGTCGGCCGCGCCATCCCCTTCTTCATTCCCTCTCAACTCAACACCGACTTCAAGTGGATAGAAAGAAACCACGTCGTTGCTTCCTTCTATACCACTATAAACTTCTTTGTTCACATTAAAACTCAAATGAAATTTGATATAGAGAAAGGACAAATTATGAAATTGACTCTTTCAGAATGTTATTTTTTTGTTCTTTTACAATATCAAGATCCTTCAACTTGAAGTTGTTCAAAAAAACAAAAAAACAAAAAAAAAGAACCGCCTCTATTTCATATGTCAAACCACCAAAGCTATAGCCAAGGCGGCGTTTATTGCCTTATATAAGACTCTGTTTGATCCATTCTTGAAACTTTTTAGGTTTACACCCATCTTCTTTGTTATTTTCTGGTTGATGTTGCATGTGCTTTTTAAAGGTGGCGAATCCAAGAGAGAAAGGTATCAACAAGAATCTTGACGAATGGGTTTATCAACCATCGATGATGCTTCAACAAGAAAATAAGAGTAACAGAAATGAGCAGCCATTTGGATCAATGCTTTCTGGGTTGAGTAGAGAAAGAGAGATGTCAGCTATGGTTTCTGCTTTGACTCATGTTGTAACTGGAGAGGTGCCTGCCGATATTATTAACAATGAAGGGAATTGTTCGGGGAGTTCCAGTGATGGAGCTAATAAGAGAGGAAGAGAAGAGGAAGGAGGTCACACAAAGCTTGCTAGATCTTTTGGTTATGTTGACAGAGTTAATAACAGTAATATACTAATCTCTCTTAGTTGCTTTAAGTTTGTTTGTGTTTTCCTCGTGTAATCATCAATGGAACAGTAATATCTTTCTTTCTTATTTAACAAGAAAAATATAGTATCTTCTTTCTATTTTCTTTTTCTTTTTTAAAATTATTTTTTTCTTTAATTGTCCTATGCACTTAAATGACAATTAATTTAATCATCCAATTCATATTTTTTATTGTTTTCTTAAACAGCAATAGACACTTCAACAATTGCAACAACCCCCATAATGCCACAAACACACATATATGAACACAACGACACCGTAAGAGAAGAGCCAAGGAGAAAATACAGAGGAGTGAGACAAAGGCCATGGGGGAAATGGGCTGCGGAAATAAGAGACCCCTTTAAAGCAGCAAGAGTTTGGTTAGGCACATTTGACACAGCAGAGGCAGCAGCAAGAGCCTATGATGAAGCTGCTCTTAGATTTAGAGGTAGCAAAGCCAAACTGAACTTCCCGGAAAATGTAAGACTCCTGCCATCTACCTCAAATCCAATGACAACCCAGGTGGCGATTTCTAATTCTCAAAATACCCTTTTCTCTGTTCCTCAAATGGTAAACAATCCTCGATTGGATTTGGGTGTTGGAGGGTATCAAAGGCATCAGGCCGTTAGTCTTTATGACCAAATGGTTTTGTCATCTTCAAATGCATCTTCCCATTTTCAAACTTTTAGTTTTGCAGCTTCTTCTACTACTTATTCTTCTTCATCTCCACAATCTTCCGTTCCTCTGATAATTCCAGCTCCGCGGCCTGCGGACTTGAGGACTGCCACCAACCAGAGCAGTGGTGGTGGTGGTAGTGCTGATATTTCAGAGCCAGCTCTCTGGTCGGATTGTGGCCATTATACTTCTTCATCTGGATAATTATTCAATATATATTTATTTATTCACCTGCATTTTAATAGGTTATACTTTAGCTTCTTGTTGTAGTTATTATTATACTGATTTTAGTTATTTTATCATTATTATTATTATTAATTTTTAGTTGGTCAAGATCTCATGTGAATGTTGTTATTCTAAGCGGTGTTCACTTATCTAAACAAAGATTAGGTCAAAGTCAGCAGCATTTTATATTTGTGAGATGGCCTGATTAGTCAACAGTTTGCCTAAATCTTTTGCAGAATCCAAGTTACTCTAGATTTCACCTCCCAATTCATCAAAAAAGAAAAGGCAAAGAAATTTTTAATTTGATTTACAAATTAAGTATAATTTAATCACAGCATCAAACATCTCCGTCAATGAAATCTTAGTCTAGTGGTATGGTAGAAATACCCATGATTAAAGGTCATGGATTCAACTCATAGCCCCACCACTCACCATGTAACATCGTTGATGTAATTCTGCTCTCAATGAAGTTGTTTTGTACTTTTTTTTAAAAAAACTAAAACGAGTATCATAGAATCTTTTCTAAAATGAGTATCATGATCTATGTAATAATTCATGTTAAACAAAATTCAAGTATCTCCAACACGAAAATTTACTACGAAGTTTCAATTATTTCGAGGTATGAGTCAGACATGACGACAACAATAAAGTTACTTGAAATAGGCAAGGCCCCCAAAAAAACAGGAGAACCGTTAAGCAAATGTCAATAAGACAGTTTTAGTTGAATAAACTAAATTTCAAATCCTCAAAAGGAGGGTGATGCAACTTGCATAATGAGACATTCACATACTCTATTTCAATCAGGACGGCAACGATAAAAGACAGGTCAAATTACCTTTGTTTTTTGAGTCAAATATAATTAAATCTCTAAATTATATTTAAACTAATACTTCACTCTATTTACATTTGATAAATAATATATTAAGCCGTATCATTTAAAAAAATAAACATATTCTATCTAAAAATTATATTTACAGAGCTCATTTTTTTTAGACGAAATAACCTAATAATAAAACAAAAGCATAAATTAAAATCGTCGTAATTATTTATTGATTGTAGAGTGATTTAAAAGTATTAATTTAAATATAATTTAAAAATTCAGTTATATTTTATCATCCACACAAAGTCCACAAAATGTCACCATCAAGAATCGCGTTGACAAATTACTTGGCCATAATATGTCATGCTAACATCAAGTCATAAAGAAAATGGTGTCATCGACAGTTGTCCAAGTGCAATGATTAAGGAAGAACCCTATAATATTAAATATAAATTAAAAAGATAAAACAAAGGAAATCTTAAACAAAGCTAAAAAATTCCTTTTCCCACTGCCATAAAACAAAGCCCTTGGTTTTTTTTCATATTAGTCAGTGGTACCGTATGTGCCAGAAGTATACAACAAAATCTTACTCGGTCCTAACAAGCATTTTGGACTTGTCAACAATAGAAATAATTCCTGGGGAAATGCATATCCTGACCACCCTTTAGCGAGCAGAGACTTCGATGGAAATTTTTATCATTACAGTCGGCCAAAGAAAATGCTCAAATTGGGCCAACCTGTAAAACACACAAGATATTCACTTATTTCGCCACTTCTGCTTTCTTTTGAAGTATTGCATGAGAGAGAGAAAGAGAGAAATGTACCAGAATGTGATTGCTGAAATCATTCTTTTCAAACTTTAAGAGCAGCTTTGTGTACCATGGTTTCCTTGTGTATTTGGTGGCAACTCTTCTCAACAAGATCAAGCAGCTTCTCCAAGTTCATTGCCCATGAGTTGAGAATGTCGTTGCTATCTTTTGCTGCTTGGAAACAGACTATCCCCATTGGCCTATCAATCTTTGCCACCAGTGCTTTCGATACAACCATATCCGAGAGGTGCTTCTCAGCTTCCTATTTGGATAGACACAAATTCAAGTCTTGATGGGTGAACATGGTTGGAAGTGAGGGCAAATAAAAATCAAAACATCAAGCTAAGCATAAAATGTTGTAGAACTATGTTTTGTGGGAGTTTTATGCCACAAAGCTCTTATATTATATAATACACAAATCCTCTAATACTTTAAACGTGCATACAGCATATGCAAAACTTATGACGAACAAAATCGAAGTCCTAGAAATGGAATCAAACAAAGACAAAGCATCAAACTCAAATCATAGAGATATTTATGCAGTTCTCCGATTCCAAACTTGCCAAATACTGCAATACTTCTTAGTCTAAATGTCTCTTTTTACTCAAAGACAGTGTCTACGTGCTCTAATATCAGGATCACATATTTCAAAATTAAATTGATGCGAGTGATTTAATTATATTCTAGTAATGATAAATTAATCCAAGATTCTTTCAAGTAATGGAAAGGAAAACATTATCCAAAGCCCATATTTGGCCTTGAATATGCAGCCAAAGGTAATTATTCAAAGAGATCAAGAGGTTAAATTGGCTGCGAAGATATCACTAATTCCAAGGACCAGTACAAGAATAAGATCAGCATAGGAGGCATGCAGGTACGTCAATTGGAAAGTACAGCTCGTGCTGTTAGTAGTAGGCTTCATACTCAGAGGCCTCCAAGGTCATGTTGAAACTTATTGAGCCAAAACTCCCTATTCAATGCCAAGAAGCCATGAAGGTTTACCATAAGAATATTAAGCAAGAGAAAAAGCTAAACTTACCCAAATTCATATTTGAACAAAAAAAGTGCCAATTAGAACAAATTTTACATTTTTAACCACGAAAGACACAAGATTGTTAAGATTTTTGAGTACTGAAAATCACAGATTGTTACTTTAACACCACTTGACAATAAACAATGAGGAACATGAAAAAACTTGCTAGCACAGTAACAAAGAAAGCATAATAACAACAATAATAATAATAATAATAATAAAACACACAAACACACATATGACCGTGTGCAATTGCATGCATATCCATATATAGGGAGAGGTGCCAAGCTGTATTGGCTAATGAAGAAAATACAAAATTAAAAAAAAAGATTAGCATGAACAAACCTGGATGCTAAGACACAACAACTCTGCAAGTCTCTTCACAGTAATTCTTGAATAGTACTTTGAAACAACAAGGATATTCTGAGAAGTAATAAGCATGTCACAATATATAACACTAAAGCAAAATCAAAATTTGAAAATAAGAGAAAGACAGAAAAAAGTTAGCATCTGGTATAACTTAGTGTCTATACAAAACTGAAACTTACATGCTCAATGATTCTTTGCTTCAAATCTTCTGCCGCTTTGTCACCCAAAGAGCCTCCAAGCAAGCCCTTCTCATTTTCAAATTCCTCATTGTATGTATTCCAAAGAGATGTCCATTGGATGACCTCCATTGTCACCAATTGTTTTAAAAGCACCCTAAGGTCAAAACATCATATAAAAACATACATTAAAGCATAACAATTTACATTAAATTACTAAAGTGGAATGCCAAATAATTGAGAAATACATACTTGAACTTTGGGATTTCAGAAAGATTTTTATCCTCCAAGGTGGAGTTCAAAAGGCTTGACTGCATCGGATCATGTGGAGATAGTACTAAGTACCAACAGATTTTCCTCAGAACCTGCATGTTATAAATTTTCAGAACACTCTAGTAGAATTCAAAGGAACTTGACAGGACATGCGCTAAATACAAACACTTACCGGAATCCACTGAGAAGGATTTTCCTTTACAGATGGGATTTCATATATGGCCTTGTAGCAACGGCAAATTTCAAGGTAATCATTGTTATGAGAGTAATACCTACAGAGGACAGACACAAGTATAAGATGTATCCATTTCTAATGGCAACAACATTAAGGTCCACAGCCATTGCATAAAGCAGTACTTCCTCAAAGCTATAGCATGTACATTTAAAAATACAGGGGTTTCAAAATATCAATCAACAACTACAAACCAAAGGGCACCCAAATATATCATAACAAGCCTGGCTTCCTTGCATAAATGATATCACAGAGACAACCATTCCAATGCAGAAACCTCAGTATCAAAACCTTGACAACAGAAACAACAACTACAACAGCTAAGCCTTAATCTCAAACTAGTTGGGAAAACCTTGAAACCAACAACATAAATAATAATCCACAAACGCATGATGCTAGCAGTTGCAATATAAGAGCCAGAACATTAAGATACCATTCAGCATTTCTTGTTTGTAGATTTGAGACCTTGGAAACTAAGATTTGCTGAAGGCTACTTTCCAGCTCAAATATAAATTAGAAAATACCAAATTCTCCAAGATATGAACAGAGAAATAAATCAAATACACACATAAAGCAAAACAGATCCATCAATAAACTTGCATTTATGCAAACACATATATCAAGCAAAACAAAATCTGCATTTCCAATTGAGTGCCAATGATTAAGGAACTCAACACGAGTGACTGAATTGGGGAAAGCAGTTACTTATCCAAATATGTAGTGATGTGTTTTGGGTGACAAATATATAACATGTCAAAGGTTCCATATTTTCTCCGCATCTCACCATCCAGATTTACTGATGCATCTTAATAGCACCTCCAATTATTTATATCTATTTAATATAGCAAATAACTCCAAGCTGAAGACCATATCATATTTCCAAAAGATCATAACAAACCAAAAATGAACTGGAGGTGAGCATTATTCAGTTTAAATAGAATTACAAACTGAATTGATGCATTTCAGATAATTAAGTTCAGTCAGTTTTCCATATCCAAAGCCAAAATATTTGGATCAACCAAAATTTATCTTATCTTATAGTTAATTCTCTAATTATACTTAATAAATAACTTCTATATGTTTAAAAATTTACATACACATATTATATCCCAAACTGAGATGTCATTTATTTTTTGGTTGAAAGTTATAAGCCCAATAAAACTCAATAACAAATAGACTAATTGAACTACATTATTTTCACTTCAGTTGATTCAGATTTGATAATAATTTGGTTCTGTCAACTCTGGTAATTAAAGATGATTCAATTAATTCAGTATTTGAACCAAATGCTCATCCAGTCGCCCACTACAAATGACAAAACGAAAAAATATGTAAAAAAAATTGTGAATATGTTGAAGCAATATACATACTATTAAATATTCTTAATCAATTTCAGAAAAAGGATGACCGTGGGGAGAACCATGGTTAGTGAACAAATCAATACTAAAAAATTGTGCCAAAGATGCAAATTTATTATCAAGGAAGTGAGAAACAAACAAATAGTAAAGCATCATGCCAAATTGCCAATACTCAAGTTATAATAGTTAAATATTAAAGATCCAAAAATTCAATAAAACTATGCTCAAGATAAAACAAGAGAGAGAAAACCAGATACCGTATCATTAATTCATAGTAGATCCGCTTTAACTCCAATAGCGATGGTATGTCAGCAGGAGCCTCTTCAACAACATTATCACCCTCCTTGGGTTTTTTCTTTTCCTTGGAAGGATCAACATCAAATACCCTTGGACTAATCTTCCTTGAGAGAATTTGTGCACGAACATAATCTTGGCGATCTAGGCAGAGACGAACCTGTGAAGTCAATCACCCACAAGTTGATAAAGAATTAACATCATGACCGACATTCAACAACTGTCCTAGGATTATCTTAAGTATTTAAGAGGACAACTTTTTCATTATTTGCAATAAAAGTAAGATCCAGGAAAGTACAACTACAACCAGCACAGTCCTATTTGGTTTTTATCCAAGACTTCCACAGTTGCACTTTACAATGGATGGAATTTGGAAAGAAAACAAGAGGCACGTACTTGTTCAAGAATGAAAGCAATTTTCTCTGTTTTTGCCATAGCACCAAATGTCTCCACCTATAACCAAGAGTATTACAGAGTATGAAAACGAAACAGAATAACACATAAAAAAAGAGGAGTTGTTGACAAATAGATTCATTAATTCCCTACTCGAAACAGAAATGACTATAGCTAACAGAAGCCTAAAACTTACTGCAACTTCTTGCATGAGATCTGCAGCTTCAGCTATAAGCCCCTGTTCTTCCTTGATCTTTGCTAGTTTTTTTATCAACCGAGCTCTCTCAATTTCAACATAAATCTACAACATAACAAAGCTCATTAAAACAATAGGCAATGAATATAAATACAAATGCATGCCTACATAAAATGTTGGATAATCAAACTCAAACACAAAAAACAGTTAAATGCTAGGCATATAACTCACCTTGCCAGCAGAAACAGAATTAAGTGTCTTAATGAGCTCTATTCGAGTTTCAAGATCCGGTGTTTGGTCAATATACTGCATTGCTTGCTGGACCATGGCAGTTACAGCCTGGATAAACACATACCCAATGAACAATACTAATAGAATCACATAATAAGGTACTCAAACATAACTAATGGAAAGGGGGAAAAAGAACACCAACCACAACAGAATGAATCACAAACAGCAGCCAAACTAAAAAGAAACCCATTACTGCTAACTAATAAAAATAATCGAAAATTCATATTGCATAATTTTGGGGCTCCTCTTAGCTTTGATAAACATCAAAATGTAAAATCAAAAGCAAATTACCTAAGCCTTGACTTTAAGGAATTACAATTATTGTCATCAAAGTGTAAATTCAACCTAATTATCAACTGGAACAACTAATCCTGCTAAAGGAATCTCAATTCATGTAATTACAAGTGATATGAAGTATTCTGCTTCTACACAGTACCTGCTTGAGTTGACCACGTTTCTTCGACAGAAGGACTATTTGGTCATTTAACAACTTCCAGTCTTTTGCTTCAAAGCAAAGTTGAAGAATATCTTCAACGGCCTTCTTAGTTCCAGCGACATCACCGGCAAGCCTCATTTGCTTCTCGACATTCTGTAGCTGCTCTATCGCCGACTCTAAATTCGCTTTGCCCTCCTATTTTTACCATTCAACAAAAATTAAACCGGAAAAAAAAAAAGAAAAGAAAAGCCTGGAAAACAAAATCGAAAAGAAAACGAGCGAATTGTAGATCTGAGTAAAAGGAAAGTAAACCAGAGACTCACCATCTTGAATCGGCAAGATCTATGGAGGTCGATAACAATTCGATGAACCCTAAAATGGACGTTTTTTATTTTGTGAAAGTAAAAGAAGAGAAAACCGCTTTGTTTTCTTTTTTTATAGTGTATTTAAAGGGGATCGTTTAAACTCCTTACACAAGAAACCTGGAAATGGATCGGGTTGATCCGGAACCCGGATCTAATAACCCGGTTCGAGGAGACTTTATCTGTTTGATTTGATTCAAAGCAAACAGACAGAAGAACGCTTTAGTCTTTGTTCTTTGAATTTTTTGAAAATTAATAATTTAATGAAAATAATAGACTAATTTGCTTTTTTTCTCAAAAAAAGTGTAATTTGTTTTATTTTTTGATTTTACTTCATCAATAATGACTTTTATATTCAATTAGATGTAATGCAACCTAATATAATTAAAGATGTAATGAAGTGAAAAATATTTTATAATATAATATATGCATTTCATTACTATATTTGTCTATGTGTTTGTTTGAAAATGGACTAATACATAAATTTAATAATATATTTTCAACTATTATCTTTATAGCCTCTCGAATTTTACAGGAGACTCATTATGACCCTGTGAAAATGTAGGATCATAATTGAATTTCTACAAAATTATTTCATTTTGGCGATTAATATAATTATTATTGAAATATGAAAATATAATGTTAATTAGCATATTACTACCTCTATCAATAATCACATCATCATCCAGGTGGATATATTGTACGTCTAGTGGGTCAAGTAACTCCACTTAGTGGCAGGACTACAAAAGATAATTAGAGAGGCAAAAAAATATTTTCAAAATTTGCAGAGGGTGATATCGAAAAAAAGTCACTATTTTATAGGTAAAAATAAAATTTTACATATTTTATAAGGTAAATTTAAAAAAAAAATTAAAATGGTGGTGTCACTACTGGCTACCCTCTAGTTCCGCTATCGTCCCACTAACACTGTAAGCATTTTTATTAGAACTGGATCGAACCAGCCAGTCGAACTAATTAAATCGAGAATTAGCTGACTATCTAGTTCAATTATAATATTGGCTCAAATTTTGAAAAAAATAGATTTTTGATATAACCGAAAAACTAGATTTTTTAATATAACTGGATTTTTTCATAGAAATAATGTTGTTGATTTTTAAAAAATGTTGTTATTTTTATATGTATTTAGTATGTTTGTGTCATAGAGGAATTCAAATTTGAGCATTAACTAAGATTTAACCATGTGATTTAAATTTATGAATGTTGAACTATTATTTAATTTTAAGTTTGAAAATTATTAATTAAAATTTGTGTATTTATTTAAATTATTTTGTTATATAGGATGAATATTTGATGTGAATGATATATTATATATGTTACCTATTTTGAAAATAATTTTAACCCACACATAAATTTATTTATGTTTGTATGACACTTTTAATTTTTACTTTGACCAATTGAACACTTTAAGTATTATTTTTACATTCTTACTTTCTTTTCTATTGTTAATTAAATATTTAAATATATTTTTTATAAAATGTTAACTAAAAATAGTAAGGATTAATAATTTTAAAATACATTTAGTTTGTCAAGAAATGAATAAAAATGAAATATTTCAGGAAAAAAATAAATAAAGAAAAATAATGAAAGGAAATAGAGTGAATATGCAAGAGGAGATAAATTACAGTAAATTGAGTCAATAAAATATACAATTATTTTTGAAAAAATTGTAATTTTATACTTATATTTTACCAAAATAATTATTTTGTCCCTATAGTTTATTATCGTTAAACAATGTTGTCCTTCCATCTAATTTTTTCAATTCCACAATACAAGTCAGCGAGAAAATAAACAGCCAGATGAGGGAGAAAATATTTTGCTTGCCCAAAATGCCAGACCTCTGCAAGATAACCACAGAAGTGAAAATGGAAATAAACACTATGATTTTGATGATATTTTTTTTTTTTTTGTAAAATATTGCTTTGCAAAGAGAGAAACCTTTATTTTTATTGAATAATGTCAAGGCATTTCTGTGTTTTTCCACATAATTACCATCTGAAATTGAAAAAATTTGATGGAATGACAATGGCGCTTAACGCCAAACTATGGGAACAAAAAGATATATTTCAAAAGACAGAGGGATAGATTAGTCAATTTTACAAAATATAGTAACACAGTTATAATTTTCATTGTTTTTTTGTTATCTTATATTTAATAGGTAACAAGCTACTATGAAAAATAGTAAATGCACTTTTTTTTAAAAAAAAAAACAAGTTATTAATTGAACCGTCTGAATTTGTTATTATTGTAATAAATTAATGAACATCCTCAACATTTAGATTACTTAGGTTGATTACATTATTATAAACATTAGATTCAGCTTATCATTTCTTTCCAAAACATCAAAATATGTTCTTAACCATCAAATCAAAAGAATGATTTTTATGGGATGGAAAGTTCAGATATTTTTTTAATAAAAAAGTATCATATATAACTTATTAAATAACAAATCGTCTCTTTTTTTTTTAGGTTTTTTTGAGCTTTTAATATATACTTATATTAAATTTGATAATTACTATTTCTTTGAAAGGTTGTTATTTATAATTTTTTAATTAATTTTATTATTATTAAAAAACAACTGTACATTGGTTATTTACAATCTACAAAATAATTGATTAAACTTCATGGTAAGATATTGTGAATTTAAATAATTTTTAAAAAATATTGTAAATTTAAATTTGAACTTTATATAATATATTTGTAAAAATTATAGTTAAAAAAAATAAGAATAAGACTCTCTTTTTTTTTAAAAAAAAAAAAGAAGAAGCACCAAAATACACACACACACACACAAGGGCGGAGCTCCCTTGGGGCCTAAGGGAGCCCTGTCCCCCCCAAAAAAAAAAATTTAGCAAAAAAAAGTTTTCTTGTGAAAATAATGATTTAACCCTTCAAAATATAAAAAAATTATATTTGGCCACCCCAACAAGTTTAAGAAAATTTCATTTGGCTCCCTCAACATAATTGTCCTGTGTATATACACACACGTGTATGTATTTGAATTTTTCTCTTCGACCACTTATATTTTTTTCAAATCACCATTTTAAAATATTAAATTATAAAACAATGTATAAATTATATTTAAATTGATAAGTAAAAGTATAATATACAGTGAAAAAACAACCCTAAGAATGCGCTAGGATTTGCCCAGTAAAAATATAATACACAATTTTTTTAAGTTAAAGGACATTATATATCATTCGCAAAGTACAAGATGCCACGTCAGGGGAGAATCTATGTATTTGGTTATTATTAATACTGGCTTTAAATTATTAAGGAGTGATACATAATTTAATTTATGAACTTTAATGAAAAAAATTATGGCACCCTAAACTTTAAAATCAACCTTGTGGCACCTTAAATTTCAATTTTTATAATAATTTTAAGATTTTTAACTTTTATATTTAAAATATTGATTTAGTATATAATTCTTTTGGAATAATAATTTTTATTTTTTTCATTTTAATTTTACAAGTTGAGGCGTTCAATAAGTAAATAAAAAATCAATAGATCCAATTTTATTAAATTAAAGCGTTCCATAGATTAAAGTAAAAGTTGATGGTGACACAATTTTTTGTAAAAAGTACTCAAGTAAATTATATATTCAGCCAACTATTGGCTGACATCGGATAGCAAGCTGATAAAATACCATGAAACAAGCATCGTGAACAATATATAAGTAAACATATACGTAGAGCTATTAGTGGGACTGGAATCGAATGCAATTGAATCAGGAAGAAGACACAGAAATAAATAAATAAATCGCACTCTTAAAAGAATCAGGTTTCAATAACACAAAATATGGATTCAATCCCACCTTAATGTTAAACATCAAAGTCCCCTTAGGGCTAATCCCTCACCTATATCTAAGGGGGAAACTTTAAAATAACCCCCTCATAGTATACATGCATTGGCAAAGAAATTAACACCAGCATCATAAAGTGTATCGAAATTAGATTTAAGAAAGAAAAAAAATCTAATATAAACAACATGTGTTGGAGTTCTTCCTTCTTCAAGTTGCATAAATTTAGCTACAAGAAACTCCGTAGTATTTGGGAAAGAACTCACAGGTATCTTATCATTGGAATTCATACTGGCTTTTGCAGAATTTCTGAATCTCACTTTTCCTCTATGACCTCAAGTCAGAATGTTTTTGCATTGATGGCTTCATTTGAGTTTCTAAACGGACAAAAAATTTGAGTTTTTTTGTCTCTCAACTTCCAATGTGGCCAGACCCTTCAACATTCCGGCGCTCGGATATCTTTGAAAGGTCATTATCAATTTCTAGATTATCTTCAACTTTTGCTCGACGATACCCTTCGGAGTAATCCATGTTTATTTCTCGGGGTACACGTAGGGATGGCAGCGGAATCATTTCTTGTACATATGCACAAAAATTGTTTCTTGAAGGCTTCATCTTGGTACAGAACACCTCAAGAAAATTATTCAGGCATCCCCGGTCATAAACATTAGGCCCATTGCGTGCTCCATAGCGGAAGTTTTCATACGTGGTCTGAAGAAATTGTTAATGAATTAGAGAACTCAGAAATGGAAAGATAAAGAAAAAAAAAATTCTGTAAAAAGATTACATATGAAAAAGCAACCTTCAATAACCTCAAAACTGCAGTCCTCATGATTGATTCATTACATAAAACGATTTATGAGAACAGCAACCCTGATATGCATGTTCATACAGTGTATTTTTTTTTCACCCCTGGAACTAACGACTCGTGACTTGTGATAATGTATAAAAAATTTAAAGAGGCTGATAAAAAGGACATTATTTTGTAATCTGTAGTTTAGATGGCATATATATTTGAAAGACATGGGAGAAGAAAGTTGCCTGACCTGGTTTCTTGCTATAAGATAAAGATGGAAGAACGTGAGACCGCCAACAAACCACAGGAAAAAGAAGCAATATCCCATTAGTATCACAGATGCCGGAGACTCTTTCATTGCTTTCCAAAGAGTTCCATAATTATCCATAAGCAGTTTTATGTTCACAGCAGACATTGCAAAGACAAAAATGCATAGAAGAGCTGATGAAGAAACGAAGAGAAAGAAGTAACGGTAGTTGCGCTGCACAAATACAATAATATTTAGGTTAACTAGAATGTGAATTCTTAAAATTCTTCCAAATTAGCATATAGTTATATTAAGGTGGCATTCAATTTTTTCCAGCACACTGCAGGGCATATGTTGGATCAACAAACTGTAGGCCGCAATAAAACTCACGCCATCAATTTTTGTAAGAGTTCACAATAGCAATTCAAAATAGCATAATGTGTCTGATTAGCAAAACTTCTTGAACCTATCCTCTTTGACAAAAAAGTGGAGCAAAACTTGTTGATATTTGAAAACAATTTTTTTGCAGTTTCCACTTGGTCATAAATAAAATTTAGCAGCTCCTGGAACAAGTTAACAGCTCCATGTAATGATTTCCAATTAAGGCATATATCATATTAAATATATCTATTACCCAATCATAATGTATTATTCACTAGAAAAACATAGAAACATAAGACAGAAAATTATGAAATTTCTTAAATGTTTTCAATCCCAAAAACAAGAATTATATTTTTGTTTTTAGTTTCTTAATTTGACTTAAAAGTTTCAAAAATCCAGTCCAAGAAGAAAATCTTGATCAATTGTAGACCACTTACAAGTCCAATGCATTGGCCCACCCAAGGGCAATGATGATCAAACCGCTCTACACAGTTATCGCATACGGAGCAATGTGAGCAACGGGGTGGGCGATATAACATGCATGTCTCACAATACTTGACCCTCACAACCTTACCATTGACAAGGACCTCTTTTGTTCTTGGCAACCGTGGAGTTGGTGTTTGTCTCCCACCAATGTCCACTGAAACTGAAGAATCATAAAGATCTTCTTCTGGAGGATGTGCATTGCGAGGAACAATTCCTGGATCTCGTGCTGAAGTAAGAAGAAGAAGCACCAATACCTATATTGAAACCTATGGTTATGACTGGACATTCTCCAAGAAAATATTGGATAAACAATGAAGTTGGAGACAAATAACTGAAAACAAGAAATTCATTGACACAGGAAATGAAGGATGCTGGACAACATCAGGCAAGCTAATAGAAGCATTCTGACTAGACGGCAAGCAATTTTATTCAATATATTTCTCAAATGCCTATCAGGCGATTCTCTTATTCATAGGTAAAATATAGAAGATATATTCTAACAGCAATTCTATGGTTGTCAATTTCACCTTTCAAGAAATGACAAATGCACTCGTTTCTTATCTGGTTTTACTTGTGTTTCCACACATCCCTCTTAACATCTCATCACGGTGAAACTCATTTCAAGTGCATGCCAGCATTCTGCCTTTCAAACAACTATTACTCCATTACAAAATGAAAAAAAAGGTTCCAGCCATATTTAAATATATATAAAACAAAAATACAAGCCTATCATGGAAGGAATCAGCAAGGACTAACATAGACTGTGAACAGAATTGCTACTGCCAGAATTATGTAGCCTCCATTGTATTGTGGAAATTCATGGAAGAAGTTCCTTGCAACATTTGTACAGAAGATAATAACAGGGACCACTATGAGCAATATGGTAACAACCAGTGACTTAGCATCTGGACCGAAAATAAGCCTTCCGTTAAAGAGAAATATCTGCATAAAGAATCCAACAAAGAAGAATATTCAGGAAAAAGAAATTACCTCTTTTTTTTCTTAAGATCACCCTCTCTTATGACTTATGTAAAATTGACAAATTAGTAATGAGTTCAAAACATAGAATCCCCAGTTCCCTTCCTTTTAAATTTCTACACGCCAACATAAACACAGAAATGATGTGGCAAGTCAAATATAGAAATTGAACAGCTGATACTCTTGAACACAAGGTTATCTATACATAAATCTCTTTGCAAGAATTGCCAATAAGAATAATCATGTGCCAAACTTTTATCTTGATCCTTTATTTGAGATGGAGAGGGTAGGCTAAGCAATTTTCATCACCAGTCATTTTCTTTTCTTTCTTTAATTTCTTTTTTTTTTTTTTTTTTTTTTTTTTTTACCAGTCATTTTCTTTTCTTTCTTTAATTTCTTTTTTTTTTTTTTTTTTTTTTTTTTGAAAAAACATATTTTTTTTTTTTTTTTTTTTTTTTTTTTGAAAAACATATTTCATAATTTGCAGAACGAGCTCATTTCAGTTTGTCTTTCTCCTCATTGAGAGACAGTGATTCGTGGTAAATAATATTTTAGCATTCATCAGCATCCACATATTTGATTATACTGCATAAAGTTGATACCCAACCAGGAAAGCTGACTGTATTTACAAATTCAGAAATTATGCTTAGAAACTTAAAAGTTGAAGAATAGCCATTGACCAATCAAATACAAACAGAAATATGAACTTGCTACTGCTAAATTCCTGTTAGCATCTCCAATCCATTAAAGTCAAAAATGAAACATGAAACTGTTTTAAACTTCAAAGAATTAAATTCAGTGCTAACCGATAGTCAACTAAAATCTTCTCATTATACAGAAAAAACAAATTGGAGAAAGAAAATAGATAGAAAGTATAAACCCATCAGTTTCAAACACTCACATAAGCATTCAATCAAAAAAGTAAAAGAAATCAGCAAGCTAAGCAAAACCCAGATCAAAGTTCACCAAATTAACAAAAAAAAAACAAATTACAACAAGAATTAACAAGTAAAATGTAAAAAGAAAGAAAGGGAAAACATACATTGCGTCCCTTCCAAACTTGGTAAACACGCTTAGCCATATTAGAAGATACTTTTACCAATAAGCAGCAAAGTAGAAAGAGAGCAGAATATTTGAAACTTGGAGGTATAGAAGTTCATTTCTTTCGAGAGAGAGAGGCGGTTCTGGGATTCAAAATAATGAGCTGGAAGGAAATGATGGTGCAGTGGGTTTTGCTGGGGCTTTTGGAACTTTCTTTAACCCTTTTTTGGAATGTGAGATAAAGAATTAAAGATTGAATTGATAAAAGAAAGTAAAGATTTGGGACTTGCCTTAGCCGCAGGGTAGTAAATAAAGTACTTTAATGGTGACAAATATTCTCTGCACTCAAAGATTTGGTAAAATGACTTAACTGACCGTGTCAGTGATATTTATTATTTTTATTTTTATTTTTGGCAAGTCTATGAAAGGGCTTTTTTGGGAATTTCCCTTTTTTTTTTGAAGAAATAACTTCTGTTTTCCTTCAAAATAAAATAAAATTGAAGAACATGTGGGGCTGCTGGTATCATTCAATTTGCAAACTAAAATATAGTGGAAATTATTTATTTATTTTTGGTTGGCTTGACCAGTTATCTGGTATATATTATAATAAAGAAATGGACAGATACATTATTATTCCATGTGTTTTAATTAAAAAAAAATCATGCTTCTAACATAATAATTATTTACTGAAAGTATAATATTTTTTTCCCATTAGCTAAAGGTAGAATTTACATTTCACAAACCCTAAATTTTTGTTCTCTAACTTATTCATTTGGATAATTTTTGAAAGTAGTCATAAATAATAATTTTCCCATTTGGGATTGCTAATTTTAAAGTGAATAATTTACTTTTGAGCATATGAAAAATAAATTTAATATGATAGTATAAAAGTTGATCTATATTACTATCTATCTATGTCTATATCTATCTATCTATTATACTATATATAAATCTATACCAGTGAAAATAGGGAGAATAATATGATTTTTCATAGCGCCCTTAATGAAATTTAGGATATTATAAAATAACGTTAGTCATAGCCAATTATAAAATTATATTTTATTAAAATATATTTATAAAAATTATTTTTTAAGCTAATCATGTGTAATCTGATAATCTTCTCACTTATGCGAAGAGTGAGATGTCTCGAGTTTGAATCCTTTTGACCATAAGTGTTTTCACACTAATTTAGTAAGTAGATGGTTATTCCTTATTATGTAGCCCATAATGTTATTTCGCCCATTAGACTTTCTAATGAATTAAAAAATATATTTTTTAAATAAATACATATAAATAAGTAAACATTTAAAAATTTAAGTTTTATCTTTACTAAATTTATTTTTTAATAAATATATATGACAATGAGACATTTGAAAATATTTTTAATTTTATTTATTAAATATTTCATTATTTTAGGATATAGATAAAAAATAAAGAAAAAGGGATATAGATAAAAAATAAAGAAAATATATTTTTTATTAATATTATTTTTGATTCATGTTAAATTTAATTTTTTTAGGATATAGATAAAAAAGAAAGAAAATATATTCTTTTTGTTAATTTTCTTTTTTTCGTTTGTATGATTTGATTGGATTTATTTTTTAAAACAATAAAATTTCAAATAGAATATATAACATTATATTTAGGAGAGAGATGAAAAAAAGAAGAAAAAAGTATATTATTTTTATTTAATATTTTTTCTTTATGTTTATAAGATTTCATTGGAATATATTTTTTATAAAGTAAATTTTCAAATAAAATTTACATAATTAAACTTGATAAACAGTTGAAATTTTTAAATTAAAAAATATATATAATATTTTATTGATGTATTCATATATTTGTATACATTGAAATATTTTTTTTGTTATGTGAGTTTTGAAAAAGTTTTATTCTTAATAATAATTTTTTATTTTCTTTTTCGTTACTGAATAATTTATAATTACAATCATTTTAATTTAGTAAGAGACTTATATCCCCTTGTAATAAATAGATGGTCTATTGATGATTAAGCATTTTTAATTTTCTTGATATTTTTTTCTCTTATATCCTAAATCTGTTTGTCCTAACATCTTGTTTGCCTAAATCTGTTTGATTTAAAAGAAAATAGAGTTTAGAGCCCGTTTGAACAAATAAATTTCACAAAATTGATCATTGAAATGTTTATTGATAAAATTACCCTCCATTATAAATTCAACTATTTTTACTTTTTTTTTCTTTTTATTTATTTTCTTTAGAAAATTCCAAACTATAATAAAGTTATTTTTTTAATCCAATAATGACGTTAGTTTATATTTATATTTTTTTCCTTTTTATTTTTTTTGGAAAATTCCAAAAATGACGTTTTTTTATTAAGTCTAGTAATAATATTAGTTTTTATTACTATGAAACTATAAAAATTGAGCATCAACAAGTGTTTTCGAATGCAAGTAAAAAAAATAGTAACATTCTTAATATTTCTTTTTAGTTTCAAAATTAATTACTTAAATCAATAAAATTGTTTACATCAATTAAAAATAATTATTATGATGAATGTTAATGCTTATATAATTAATTAATTAGCATGGAATATTAGTGTATTTATTTATATGAAATTTATTATTTATATTTTAATAAAAAAATGATGGAAAAAAATGACAAGTTATTATATTATATATAATAAATATAATTGGTGTTTGTTATTTATTTTTGTTAAATTATTATGTCAATGGCGTTATAAGAAATAAAGACAAATGAATTTTCATTTAAGAATTTATTCCACACATAATTTTGTGGAATTCAATTGAATTCCTTATTTTAAATTGTAGCATACCAAACATGACAAATTAATTTGCACATGAATTCTACAACCATTATTCATTTATTCCAAACCGGCTGTTAGGAAACTGGAAAAAAACTAGAACTATAAAGTTCTGTTTGGGTCACTTTTTGAAGTTTTAAGAATTTGTGTGTATATGCATATATTCTTTTGTTTGATACACTGGGTAAATAATATTGCTACCGTAGCCAAAGTAATTTCCATTATTAATTCAAATGGTCCTCTTATTTCTTTTCTTTTACCTAGCAGTAAAAATAATTTTTTATTATTATTCATTATAGTTGTATCTAGATATTAATTTGGGGTTGAGAGTAGGGGTTAGAGATTGAGTGATAGCTTGATTTTATTTTTGGGCACCTATTAGGATTTTAAAAATCTACATCTATAAATTATGGACTAAAGGATTAAGTTTAGGGATTGAGTTAAACTTTATTCTGAGACCACTTCTGTAACACCCGCCGCCCAGTCCCAAGAGACCTGACGGCGGATGCCACATTCGGTGCCGGAGACACCGTCCTAACATAACATATAAATCATAAAATCAGATTATGATTTAGAAGTGATTAAGTATTGACAAGTTTAGGATTATGAATTTAGAAGTGATTAAGTATTGACACAGTTAGCGAGTAAATTTTTTTCAATTTGTTTTTGAAAATATATTATATATAATATATAAAAAAAAAAAAAATATATAACTTATGAAAACAATTTAAGGAAAAAATCTACAGCAAAACTGCAAAGAGTTTCCTTTTAAAAAAAACCGAGCTCGCCAACATGTGATACAAAACACTCTCATTTAAACTCTAAACCCCCCAGCAAACTCCAAGTAATCAACCTAGCAACACAACAACACTTCTAATAACCGTTCATAATTATAGAAACCCTCAATAGCATTTTAATGATCATCAATTAATGCATTCATTATATATATATATATATCAACTCCTTATGTTCTTAATCAATAACCAACTATCTTAAACATATTTTTTATATCCAACATTAATAAAATCCTCATGCTTATCTTCAAATATACACCAAACTAATTTATCATTACATGCTTAAGTTATAATTCAAATAACATAATCTCCGAAAATGTAATAATTATACATGCCATGATTCTTAAGTACCTCAAACTAATTCTACCACTACTAAATAGTCTCTTCTGTTCTGAAGCTACTCTTCTGATCTTCAAGTAGCAACCACGGACTTCAACCTGCGCGTGATAAAAATCTACGAACTGAGTATAAAACTCAGTGGTGCTTATAAATGACAAACTTAATAATGTTGCACTGGCAACACACTTAAAATATAAATTTTCATCAAAAGAACATACATTTACATTTATAGCAAAATAAATATCAAATAAACTTATAATTAATAACAATAACTTATAATTAATAACATAAATAATTTAATTTTTTATACCTAATCCTTTACTTAACATTTATTATATCAATACATAATACTATTTTTTTTAAAAAAACCATGTACCCCCGGAAATAAATTATGCTTGAAAATTTCATTTGATAACATAATCATAAATTTCCAAACTAAGGTTTGCTGAAATAATATACTTCATTCATTCAAGTGCCTTTAAAAATAGTTTTCCAAGGGCTCGCATACACTTAGGAGAAAGAAGAAGCAGATAGGTTTTCAATAACTTATTCATAATGGCCTTAGGTCGCCAACTCTTTTCATAACATATAGAGCGCGTCCGCCCTAACAATAAGACCCCACGTGCCCTAGCATATGATCATACTTCCTTATCATATATGGCATCAGATGCCGAGCCATGCTCATCCATACATAAATTCAAATCAAACGCATCAAATTCACATACCAAGTATATTAGAGCCCAAAATCCTTGTTTTAAATTCTTAATTCATAACACTTCTCCATAAAACTTGTCTTTAATTCTTTAGTCTTCTTAAATTCATAATGTAAGCTTACTTTAAGAACTTAACTCATAAAAATTTTCATACTTAACGTAATTACTTAAATATAGGAAATTTTCTCATAAATTCCTTTCTTTTAAAACTTTCTTAAAAATCATAATATAAATTTATCAATAAGAAATTTCTTTATCATATAAAATTATACTTTCCTTATTTCCAAAAATTCCAAAGCTCAAAATACACCTTAAATACCCATTTTTTTTAAAACTCTAAACATATGAAAGTTATCAAAAATATTCAACGATATTTCACATATATAAACCAATTAAGTAAGCATTATTAACCCCTAAGGTGGTTTGACCTCTTAATGAAACCAAGGGGCGGCAAGGGGAGGAATTTCCTTCTCCAATCAAGCATGCTAACATAACTCTTATGCACCAAAGTATTCATTTCAACCCTCATCATGCATTATCTAAGCCAATTTCACACTCTTTCCCGAAATTTCCAACCCATTTATATTCATTTAAACATATCCATAATAACACTAGTCAAACTTGTCTTAGTTTTGTC